CACCGGAACAAAATTTTCCAGCATGATAACGCCCAGGCCCATACTGCCAGAGCTACACGGGACTTCCTACAGCCGTATGCAGTGGCCAGCCCTTAGTCCTGATTTAAACCCAAATGAACATCTTTGGGAAGAAATTCAGAGGAGACTGAATAATGTCATACCAAGGCCGAACACAGCTGATTTATTGCGCCAGGCCATTTTCAGAGTGAGGTTCGAGGTGCCAATGGCTTTTATCAATCGATTGGTGCACTCCATGCATAGACGCTGTGCTGCAGTTATTGCCGCTCTTGGTGGTCACACTAGATACTGAAGTCAAGAGTCTGAATGGACTGCAAACGTTCACGTAATGTCTTGAAATTGTGCTGAGTTATTCATTGATGTGTCAAAATATTGTACACAAAAAATGTTTTTGATCCGCTTATTATGTCCATTTCTGTCATGATTTGATTACAGTGCCTATCTAATTTTGAATTCGTACTGACGTGTTTTTTGCTGCTGAGTAATATAAAACACCCGAGCACTGTGATCAGTGAGTGTGAGTCTAGTTTTACGCCGCTTTTAGCAATGTTGCAGCTACATCACGGCCATCCTCGATAATCTCCAGGGTATACGTTCGAGGATGCATCACGGCAGGGGACACCAGAAATGGGCTTCACACATTGTATCCATGTGGGGAATCGAACCCAGGTCTTCGGCGTGACGAGCGAACGCTTTAACCACAAGGCTACCCCACCGCCCCGCGCTGTATTCAGGTCACGCATATAAGCTCACGTCGGGTGTAGAAGGGAAATCAAATTATAAATATGACATATACGCTGATACTGTTGATTTGAAATAGCTTTTCGAAATTTCGAAACAGGTCGTAAGAGAAGATCACTCTGGATTAGATTGTCAAACTCGGTGTCAAAACAACTTAAGTTAACCCCGATCTTCACAGATGCACAAGGACACAGATAAGGGCAAGCAGGTTGTGCTTATAGAGTTTTCCCAGAAATTATTCAGAAAATCTTTGTTTTCTAAAATAGAATTTTAAAATAGGTGTTCAATATGGGAGGCAACTCTTGTAGGCTTAAGAATGAACCTTACTACATCAGGAGTTATCCCCCCTGGTGTAGCAGGCGGCTTCTTTTGTTGACATGGCAGATTTGACAGCAGAAGAGAAATGAAAGCTCGTTCTAGATGATGAAAGGGTGTGACTAATGCAAAAGAGTTTGCTGGTAGACATGACATTCCTCTGTGTACAGTATACAGAACCTTGAAGAATATTCAGTCATGAGTTGGGATTTAGCACAAGACAGGGGCAGGCAAGCCAAGGAAGTTCAGTACTACAGTACGGATCGCCGACGACTTGGTCAGATTGTGAGCAGGGGAAAAAGCTTTGAGAATATCAGAAATGAGATGATTAACAGAGGACGTCCTCAGGTATATAATGAAACCCTTAGACAAGAATTACAAAGACTTAACTGGGTGAAAAGCCGCGGAATGAAGATAATTGGATTCTCCAACATGATAACGACCCAAAACACACTTCGGTCTACACAAAACAGTGGTTGTCGGACGAAAATGTTCAAGTTTTAGACTGGCCCAGCTACAACCCAGATCTTAACCCTATTGAGAATGTGTAGGGACTAATGAAGGACAGAATAAACCAAAAAGGACTTAGAAATATTGAGGATATGAAGAAGGAAGTGGTTGAATATTGGGATATGCTGTCACACGATTTCCAACAAACTTAGATCGGTAGTGTACCTTGGCGCACTCAGTCGTGTATTGCAGGGCATGGAGGTCTCACAAGGTACTGAAAAGACACTTAGACTGTAAGAAAATCAACATATTCATTAAAGTAAAGCGTCTATAGTTTATATACATATATGTTAGATATTTGCCGAAACAACTTTCTCGATAATTTCTGGGAATACTATAACAAACTATTATTCTGTGTAACAGAGGGAAACGGGTAATAGCAGGAAATATTAAATAACAGAAACTAAAACAACCTAACTCGTTTTCCATTGCACATTACGATATAGTCATTTACTAAAACTCGTTTTCCCTTGCACATTACGATATAGTCATTTACTAAAAAGATTGTAAATTCCACTAAAACAAGTACAAAACTTCCTTCTGTATTCCTTATTCCTTGCAAATAGTCAGGGGGCGGTGTGGTAGGCAAGTAGTTAAAGCGTTCGCTCATTACGCCGAAGACCCGGGTTCGATTTCCAATATTTGAAGCCCATTTCTGGTGTCCACCGTCGTGATGTTGCTAGAATAGTGCTAAAAGCGGCGTAAAACAAACTCACTCACTCATTACAGCTAAACTAACAACTGTTATGACCTGACTTTAGGGGATATCCTATGATCCCAAATCTAAAGGTAACACTATGTGTGCTATTTATATCCGTCTTTCGGCCCTTCTAGGTTTGTCCAGGAGTGTTTATATCACTAAGAGGGCGGTGGAGTAGCCTAGTGATTTAAGCAAATGCCAGAATCCGATGGACATCGACCGTTCTTTTGTCTGCTTGTTCAGGCTGAAATAATAATGGACACTTTTCTCAAAGTGTATAGCGCACCTAGTTCTTTTAGTTTCAATTTGGGAAGAAACCTGTGACACCACATAGGGCCGATCGAGTTACTTCTGAAATATTACTGATTACAATATATGAAGCCTATTTCTGGTGTCCGCCGCCATGATATTGCTGGGACATTGCTAAACACGGCGTAAAAGCATACTCACTCACTCTAAAATATTTAAGTTTTGATGTCTTGATTCCATTGCAGTTACAAATGGTGTCACTGCTGGGAAGTCACTTGTTGTTAACCTTGTCAAATGATACAATAAGAAATGCCATAGAAAATCAAAGCTAATTACAAATAATCCCACTTGCGTAGATATTCTCATGCTGTTGATCACTGTATTGTCTGGTCCAGATTCGATTATTTACAGACCGCCGCCATATAGCTGGAATATTGCCGAGTGCGGCGTAAAACTAAACTCGCTCACTGAATTGTCTGGTCCAGACTCGAATATTTATGTACAGACCGCAGCCACACAGCTGGAATATTGCTGAGGGTGACTCAAAATCAGCCCTATCAGATCACATCCAATACCATCCCGACCACAGTACCCAGTGGGACAGAGTCAAATCCCTAATAACCAACCTCAAAGACTTTAAACACAGGAAGCTCCAAGAAGCTATCTACATCGAAAGACTCCAGGCATCAATCAACCGTGACCAAGGTTACTACATACCTCCTGCATACTACCAACTCATTAAAGATCCTAATCATCGATAATTCCCTATTGATGTACTAGTATACTACAGGCTTCACTATCCCTTTGTGTATACTGCAGACTTCGCGTGTTAACGCTTTTATCAAAGGCCATGTGTTGTTATTGTGGCTGGCTTCCTAATCCCCTATTGTACTGTACAAACATCACCTCTAATTTGTATATATGGTTCTCTGTCTTCATGCTGTTCATCACTTGTTTGATAACGGTGTTAGAACCTACATCAAAACGTCGCCCTCACTGCAAAAAGGAAGTTGTTCATCCATATATCGTTAACCTTCCTTAATGTCAGACAAGTCCATTTTAGGAACAGAGGGTTAAAGTTGGTCTTTTCTTAATATTTTACAATTCTCGCGACGATTATCTGAACCTTTAATTTCAGTCCGTGTTGTCAAATCTCGACCACTCTGATCTTGGGTGCGATGATCCGATTATTAGGGGTGGGCGATAATACCGGTTAGCCGGTATATTAAAATTCGAACTTCACAATACGATATATTGTGGTACACTTTTCGCGAACCGGTTCACTCGATACGATCGGTAATTTTCGTGATGTAGTCAAAACTACTATTAACATTTGTATTTCCTTTATATTATCATACATTAATAGTTTTGAGAATGTTATTGTTCATATAATTGCATTTGTATGACTTTTAAACCATAAATATAAAAAATAGATTGGTACCGGCAAACCAAAATGGCGGACGCCGCTGCAGACGCTTTTTCTCGAGTTCCAACCTTTAGAGCGAACACGTGGAAGTCTTCAATTTGGAAACATTTTTCAATTGATCTCTTGTACAATCACATCTGAGTCCTGACAGTGGCCAGTGGCATTGTTTCAAAAGAAAGAAAACAGTAATTTTATTACCTTAAACCATGTGTTACACTTTCACAATATATTGCAATACATATTGCAATACACAATACGAAAATTTTGGCAATACCCAACCCGGCTCCCCGGCTCCCCCAACCCTACCTATTATTGCGTTTTACTGCCTTTTCCCAGCTGCTTACTACATAGCATAGGCTAGGAAATACCCGAATTCATAAAATTGGCATGTTCACCAGTGTAACTCTCACTACACACGGTATTTATTTTATCCATGTTGTGTTTGGAGGGGCGTCTTTTTTATTTGGGGGTGGGGTGTTATTGTTCTGTTTGTTTTTTAAGTCAGTTCATTAAAAACAAAACGTGTGCTGGGACACATATTGCCTGATACGCACCTGCATGCTAGGCTACCCTGGCGGTCTTCTGGTGATGAGAGGTCGGAGTGACGTCACATTAGAAATTACGTCATTGTTTGACGTCATATTAGAAATTACGTCATTGTTGCATTGATGACGCCCTTAGACAATCATGGATTTTACAAAACAGCGATCTTGAGTGGTGTCTTTTTCTCCTAAAGAGGAATTGAATAGGATTTTTAATGGGTTTAAAAACAATTCTTACACTTGCATGTGTGTCAGCACTAAGAAATTGAGTGTTGCCATCGCTTGGGAAATACAGTCACTTTTACACTCGTTTCGTAATATTACTATAACTTAAATGATTGTATTAAATCCTCTGTGTCTGCAAAGCGTTGAGCAGTTATCGGTCGGAAAAGCTAGACGGATCGAGCCAGCTAGTGTCGAGATTCGATGCGCCGCCTATCGGGAAAACGATATCGTGTGCAAAGGGGAGAAAACTCTATGACACAAACACCTATAACAGCGATGCGCATGTCTGGTCGTTTTATTTCCTGTTGTCACCAACACTTTTAATGTTGTGTTCTAAAGTCCCATTCTGATGTTGCTCTTATCCGACACCTCGTCAGACTTTATTGTGAAAATGAATATAGGTAAGACTTGCAAACGAACTGGTAAAGTTTCAAGTGATCTCCCGAAACAGTCTTTACTCATTGTCAGTGACGATTAAAGTGAAATGCAGTCAAGATGAAGATGTAGGAAGATGACACTGCCGCTGTTACAGGTCATAGGCTCCCGCCCTCTGCAAGCATTCTGCGTTCTGCTGTTCATTTTGTTGACAGTTACATAGACAGATTCTTTAATACAAATGCATAAAATCGGTGATTTACAGTGTGATTAGGTTGTCTGACAAAACATCCACTTGCACAGTTTGAGATCGATTGGGTCATTGAATGAAGAGATATTTACAAAAAACCGGGTCCACATGCATTTCATGCCAAACTATAGACGACTTTGCACTATACCGAGGTGTGCCTTGGCTGGAATACGAGTTTATTCATATGAACCACCATGCCCCAAAAATAATGCTATGTAGATTTATGCACATTACTGTATATCTACCTTTGTTATACATGAAAATGGGAAATAAAAGACTTAAATTGAAAAAAAAAAATAATTTGAGCAGATAACGTACATACATAAATTCCAGTTCATCAGGTAGCTCTTCTAGTTGTCCTTTTCAGTTTCCTACAATTAGTGAGTAACATATGTAACATCGATTTACCTGAATTACTATAATGTTAATATGTTTTCTTCAAAAATGAAAGTCCCAGAACATTTCCAGTCAATTTAAGTGTACCAGGTTTTTAATCGTAGTATTTTTGTGTTTTTAATGTATGGCTAAATCTGAGCATCAACGCCAATGGCTGAAGGGATGGTGTAAATCCAGCTAGGGTCCATGCAGGTAGCAAAAGTAATGTAAGTCCCCATGGGCCTTAGTATGGTGTTCTACCTTCAGTTGTTGGCGATCTATAGCCCGTTTTTATATTGTATTGTTTTCGTAATTAAAATAGTTTTACATGTTCATGCTAGTTTTAGACTCCATCTGTGATACTCTAGTTATTTTACTGTCCTTCGTTGACAGGGTTTTATATATTATATGTATGTATTATAAATTTAGAACTAGTTTTAGTCACGATATGGCTGAAATATTGCCGATGTGACTTTAAATCTTAACTCACTCACTCACTCACTTCAAAAATGATATTGATCTACCTGATGTGTTTACTTACTGTCACAATTCTGTATATTTTCAGTGAAAACCTGTCCAGGGGAGTACTGTGGAAGAGAGGCCATAGATGCAGATTGTGGGGTAATATATGGAGTCAAATATACTGAACCTAACCCTTACCCTCAGGGGTGGAAATAACTTTAAAATTGCTAGTGTACTCCGGTACATTGGCACATGTAAAATCACTTGCCCTGATAATTTTTCCACTATACCGGCCATTTCTTGTTGATTTTTTAAAATAAACAACATAATTAACATTGGAAAGTCAACTGGACACCGGTACAGTGTGATATACAAATTTGCTTCCCCACAGAAAAAAACACTGGACTTGGACGTCGGGCAAGGGGTTATTTCCACCCCTGACCCTGATTTGTTGGGGCATGGGTTCCGATATATAAAGCCATATATGCTCATTTTATGTGTTTTCAGACACTTAGAACATACATGTTTTCTCAATTATGGCGTGAACAATTATAAAAACATCACTAACTTATTAAAGACAACTTTACCTTAAACTGCTAGTCTGCTAAGTGCTGACATGTCCATCTCTTATCCGTACACTATGTAAACAGGGACATTTTATGAAAGCAGCTACCTAAGACTAGCAGTAGCATGCCTTGTGCAGACTGTGAGAATGTTTTATAGATCTAAGTCCTAGACTCAAAACACTGAATCTGAACTATTCAAAATAACAATTAAGTAAACCAAATCATTTTTGGATCGACTTGTTTTTCAAAGTATGTCAGGTTCATAGTTTGATTAACAATGGTTACACCGCACAAACTGTTGAAATTAAGCATGAAAGTTAGTGAGTTCTTTTTGCTACCGTTATATGGAAACTAAAGCTGAATAAATCCAGACTTACCCAATCACTCTAGACTTGAGCTGGACTCCCATTTTATATATTCTCTAAAGTCTTGGTGACAGACAAGATAAAAACGTCATATTTTTTGTGGTTTTCCCTTTTAATTTATTCTCTAAAGTCTTGGTGACAGACCAGATAAAAACATCGTATTTTTGGTGTTTCTTAGGCAACATGGCAACTATGGCAGCAAGCCTCAATGTTGAAATACGGTTGTTGTTTTTCAGGCCTGTCCACGGGGGTACCAGCCCAGCAGCGAGTCTACCTGGTCCGAGTGTATTGAATGTAATGGGAGTCTGGCCCTACATGACTGGCTCTATCTCGGCTTCATGGCGCTGTTGTCTCTAGTCCTGCACTGGTTCTTTATCGATTTCAAAACTCGGGGCAAAAGATTCAGGTGAGATGTTTGTGGTGGAGGTTGTCTGGTTCACTTGTCACGGTAAGAGAGGGTTGTTTCTGGAATCATCATCAGTGTTTTTGATGGATTATTGCTCAAAGCCAACTCAGTCAGGTGAAAATGAATACACAATGTCATTTAGAATGTGGTCAAATGTAACACATGTTATATTTGGTATTACATGTTCTCAGTAAAAAGACCCGGTACAGATTCTCACATGTACTTTTGTTGGGTTGAGTCCCATCCTGGGCACCTAATTGTCAGCACACAAGCACACAAATTATCTAACCCATTCAGCCATCACTGCTTGCACTATGTGGAATTAAGTGCCTGACTCTGAGGGTAGACTCATCACAACAAAAGTACTAAAATCTGTACTTAAATGAGAAAGTATCAACAGGGCGGATACAGCTTTTGAGAAAGGTGGGGTGCACACTCCTGAGAAAAGGAGGGGTGCACATTTCATTTTCACCGAAGTTTCAATGGTCATTTAACAAAACTTTCAGCACAAAAAGGGGTGCGCACCCTGCACCCCCTCTGGATCTGCCTATGATAAACCCAAATATAACATGAGTTGCATTTCACCACTTTCCTCAGAGGCGTTGTGTATTCTGTCACGAATATGTCTTAGAACTGCAAACATTTACTATTAAAAAGAATTTAATTTCGCATATGGCAACAATTGCGTTCCAACAGATAACACAGGTCCAATCTATGGGTGCGTTGCAAGCCGTGAATCGCTTAGAGTGAGCAAATTAATCGCATGTCCCAACAGCAAGCCCACTCTTCCAAAATGGCAGAGTGATTGCTTGTTTGCTCGAGCTGCTCTAATGAAGAACGAATTAGAAGAGTCTCGATGACGAGTTGATGAATTGATTACAATTTGTGACATCATTGAAGATGTTGAACAAACTGATGATGCTGGGAAGTCAGCTGTTTTAGCCATTTCCTAGCTAATCCATTCAAACATTTCTTGCTCAGCTGTCAAACTCAAATTTCCCACAGCCTCCATTTTGGTTTGAGAACGAAGCTACCTCAACCAGCGATTGGTGCTATGTGGAATTAGGTGCCTGACTCTGGGGGTCTCATCACAACAACCATACTAGAATCTGTACTTTAGTGAGAAAGGGTAATCCCAAATATAACATATGTTTCACTCAGGTGAGATGGTTAGATGCAGTATTTTTAAAATCAAAAGTAGAACTGGTTTAATGGAGGTCACTGTCTTGGAGAACTAAGCAACATTTATTAACAAATTGCAAACCTTATTCTGGCTCACATACAAAACAAGGAAGAACCTTTAATTATTAAGGCAAAACATATAATACAGTTAACCCCTTTTGTAACAAACATGCTTATAATGGACTGACAAATATATAAAAAAAATTTTTTTTGTTTTTTGTCCCATCCACTTGTGGTATATTTTAGTAGAAATGCATATAAAAAATGTTATGGGTGATGATACTCTTTTATATATTGATGAGAATACTTGGTGCAATTAGACTTAGCTTGAGGTGAGTGGCATTCACTTGAGTGAAACGAATTGTTATGGATCTGAATCTACAGCTTGGCACTTGATGGATTCAGCTTTTGTAAGTCGCCAGCTTATAGACAAAGCATTAAAAACTCGAATGATAGACAGAAGCTCAGTGTTACTCTGGTCCTGTACGGAAGTTTCTTGTAGACTTGACTTTTGCCAGTTTTTTATCCATGATGTGGATGTTCAGAAGTTATGTGCAAATGTTGTACCCACGTCTGCATGACTGGGACAAATACAGAAAATCATAAACTGTGAAATCATGATGTCCACAGACTTGAAAAGAGTTGGAAATGAGGTGACCAAAACTTACAAGCTAGCGTGAATACTGAATTATAATGCCCTCTACATTTATTCTGCATGTAAACCAGTATGTTGTACCAACCTCCTTTTGGAATAGTGCTAATAAATTGTCCCTAATTGGTCAGATTATTGTGTAACCATTTCATTGTGCGAGTGAATTTGTGGTATACCCCTTTATTACACCTTCACTCATAATAAACAGAAGGTAAGAGTTCATCCCGTTCCCCCATCCCAAATAATATTTATAAATAAATATATACTAAAATTATTAACAAAACTTACCACAACAATTACTAGAGAACTCCCAAAAATAACTAAAGGCAGTGAATTCGACTTTCTGATTTAGACGATTGCATTGCACGCGCTATATCGGGGGAGTACGTGTGTGCGATCGGAGTGCACAAACAGTTTCACTGGTAGGGCGGGTGCCTAGTCGATGTCGTGAGAAGTTTTATTGACTATGGACTTGGGGAAGTAAAGTTATATACAAAGCAAACAAACATCAAAATTATTTACCCGAAATCGTTAATACCACTTACGATGCAAAATCAGTTCCCTTTATAACAAAAAATAGCAAGCGGAAATTCAGTTAGATCAGTCCTCTGCTGGTGACAGGCAATATATAAATAGGAAGCCACGTGATCACAACACTCCCTCGCAGTGCGGAGCAAAAAGTATGGCTCATCGTCAAAAACCCATACAAAATACCCGGATGTTACGAGCGGCAACAGTTTCGCTGATACGATTTCATCAATGCTATTTTTGTAGGGAACACTTGATATTTTTGTGTGAAATAGATGAATATATCCTTTATCACTCAAGGTTAGTAAAATACCAACTTTAAATGATATTACAGATAAAAAATATGTTTTTGTCTTACATCGTTGAAAACCCCTGACACCGGGATATGATAAGGGGTAATGTTACAAAAAAAATGTAGGGGAACGGAAGGAACTCTTTCCGAACAAACATTAGTGGTCCATTTGAGTTAGCTATCACCAAAGTTTGCTGTACAGTAAACGTTTGTGAGACAGGACAACATTAGTCTGCACCTTATCAGTCTGGAATCCCTACATTGTGGACAAAATCAGTAAAGAACATATCTGTATATATTGCTAAACTAACATAGATACATGTCCCTGTTCCTTTGATCCAGAAATTGGTTTATTATTTCATTGTGTTGATGCCATCAAAATGAAAATGAAACATAAATAGATATGGGTCTGTACTTGGCTTAAACGACAAGAAATGGAGTATTGTTGCTGTTTTTAATCTTGTGTAACAAAGATGGCTTATTTAAAACTTATTATTTTCTTAAAATTGTTGCTTAAAATAGCTGTGAAAACAATGACACACAGAAACACACCATATCTTTGCAACACAGAACATGGGATTCTTGACGGCTGTTTCCACCTGTGACTAAAACCATATTGGCTTAGTCAGGTGCCATGAAACACAAGCAATTTTCACCTGAATGTAAGATACAGACAACACTATAATACTGTTGTGATTGATCAAATAATATCAGTCAATCAATCAATCTCGCTTCTGTCAACGATTGGTTCAGGAGACTAATCAATATTCATGAAAAGTGAAACAACAATTTAAACTTTGGAAAGTATGTTTCTTATGGTTATGTTTGTTAAGTCAAGACATAAACAACCGATGCCTTTTCCTGACTCATTAAACTGCAAGGTAAACACCATACTCACATGACTGTCTCAACAGGAAGGATCCTCAGTCGTCTTGATCGAGGTATTAATCTATGCCTGTTTCGTTTTGCCCAATGTTATGATTGTGTCACGTTATAACCCATGTGAGTTTTGTGGTGGAGTTTCCGATAACAATTGATTACAGACCGTAACTGAGCTGTGATAAACGATCTGCATATTGTGATCGATAACCAGTGCTACAACATGGAGTTATTTGCGAACCTCTCTTGACATTTTTCTTTGTGTTTCCAGGTCTGTGTTGGTGCTGCACCTGTCGGCCTTGGTGGAGAGCGCGCCATTGCTGTAGTCCTCACGTTGTTGGTGGCCGACCCAGTGGGATCCATGCACATACGATCCTGTAATGTGAACAAGTTGTCCGATTGGTACACCATGCTGTACAACCCAAGCCCCAACTACACATTCACCCTACATTGTACACAGGAGTTGGTGTACCCACTGTAAGTATTCCCCACACACTCAATTGTAACAGCCGCCTCCGTGGTGTAGTGGTTAGAGCGTCCGCCCGAAGAGCGGAAGGTTGCGGGTTCGATCCCCGACCGCGTCATACCAAAAGACGTTAAAATATGGTACTTGTTGGTCCCTGCCTGGCGCTCGGCATTAATGGGTACAACAAGGACTGGTCGGCTCGGAGTCAGTATAATGTGTCTGAGTGGGGTATTCATGCTTCACTGCGGCATGGTATCTCAGTGGGCTAGCACTATAAAACCAGCTTAAGTCTGGGCTAGTACAAGCAGCCGCACATACACATACACACGCATGCATATCGTCATATGAGCGAAATATTCTCAAGCACGACGTTAAACCCAATTTCACCTCACCTCAATTGTAACATGCTGTACAACCCCATCCCCAACTACACATTCACTCTACATTGTACACAGGAGTTGGTGCACCCACTGTAAGTATTCCCCACGCACACTCAGTAGTAACATAGTCCACAATTATCCACTGGATCATGTCTCCTTACTTTGTGGTGCTGAAATATTGCTAAAAGCAGTGTAAAACTCACTCACTCACTCACTCATAGTGGGGAATCCTGTTCATTGCTATGTCTGAGTTGCCCACAGTAGAGTGAATTAAAAAAGTAGTATAGTTACATAACGTATCATGTAGGGGCCGGTGGGGTAGCCTAGTGGTTAAAGTGTTCGCTCATCATGCTGAAGATCCGAGGTCGATTCCCCACATGGGTACAATGTGTGAAGCCCATTTCTGGTGTCCCCAGCCGTGATATTGCTGGAATATTGCTAAAAGCGTCGTAAAACTAAACTCACTCACTCACGTATCATGTAGACACTATCAGGAAATTATTATGCCCCTGTGAGCTGACATGTTGCATGTCATTGGAGTGAAAGTGCTTTATTTCATATTTCAGGTTTAGTGGTGTTCAATAAATTAATTCATATTGTGTGTATCATATTTGAGGTCACAATAAAGTTTTACATTTAGATCCTCTTTTTAAGGAAAAATGTACAGTGACATTTTCAATTTACTTTGGAAAAAAACTGTTCAACACGTTCTGTGTACTGTGTTCTGTAGATGAGATTCACTTAAGCTGGCGTGTTTGGTTGGACCTTGTATGTAATGTATATTATCAGTAACACACACACTTTCCATAGATGTAGGAACTTGGTGACATGATGTGAGGTGAGATATTTAATCCTGAGGCTGATAGACACACATGATAATTTCATAATCAATTATTTTTGGCCTAACACACATTATAACCATTATCAAAATGAGGCTCATTGCTCCTGTATTTACATATGATAATAATTGGCCACTTATATAGCGCTGAACTCCATGCCCGGGGGACATGCTCTAAGCACATACTCCTTGATGGACATTATAACCATTATAACCCAAGCTGCCTGTGAAGCGCTAAAAGGTTAATAGCCACATGACAAATCCCACCAGGTACCCATTTTCTGCTGGGTGGAGAGGCAATTTTGAATAAACTCACTTGCCTAAGGTGAGACCTGTTTGTTTTGACAGGTACACAATGGTGATGGTGTATTACTCTCTATCACTGTTTGTTTTGACAAGTACACAATGGTAATGGTGTATTATGCTGTATCATTGTTTGTTTTGACAAGTACACAATGGTAATGGTGTATTATGCTGTATCATTGTTTGTTTTGACAGGTACACAATGGTAATGGTGTATTACGCCATATCTCTGGTACTACTCATGCTAATCCGACCAATCATCTCGTACAAGTTTGTGGAAAGCCGCGGCACCAAGTCAATATATGCTGCCCTATACTTCCTCCCAATCCTCATCGTGCTGCAGGCTGTGTTTGGAGGTCTTCTATGTAAGTCACATATTTCAGACAACAAATGCTTTTAACCCTGGAAGCCGCTTGCACAGAGCAATCTTAGTAACAATCAATCTTAGGGCCTTACAATCAACTTTACAATCACCATACAATTTGCCTAATCCACTTGCACAAAGCCGATCTTAGCGCGATTGTAAGACGACATGGATTTAAGATCGAACTCTTCAACGGTGGAGGTACAAATTTCTTAAACTCGACTCCTGTCTACACTTGTCTGCAAGTGCGCATGCTGCGCAAATAAAAAGTGGAACTGGTTACTGCACACAACACATACCTCCCTCAATCGCACCTTGCAGAATTTTCATTGGAAAAAAAATCCCACAAATCTTTGAGGGAAACGATTCCGTGGAAGATAACATCTATTTTTCGGGTCCTAGTCAAAAGGGCCGCATGACAAAAGGGCCGCAAGAAAGTCAAAAGGGCCGCATCAAAAAGTCAAAAGGGCCGCATCCAAAAGTCAAAAAGGCCTCAGCCCCCTAGTCAAAAGGGCCCCATATCAAAAAATAATATTAACATCTTTTTTAAAAAGTGTATTATAGTAAAAGGTTATACATCTATACAATGTACATACTAGTTCTGTTTTTAGAAGATATTTTTTCAATATTTGAAAGAATAGATGTATGTGATGGTTATTTGTTTTGTCTAAGTAACAAACACTTATCATTTATGATTATGACGAATACTTTGTCTGAGAACTAAACAATCTGTCTGTCTATATCAGCAAATGACAACATTAGGAAGCAGGGTAGAACAACAGCACCCATGAAGGGAGGGGTGCACACTATGTCTTCATAAGATCACATTCAATCTTCACATCACTTCGGCTGGTCCTGTTAGCCTTGAGCACAAACATTAAATTGATAAAATGGATCCTTAACAATCTTAAATGCCCCATCTATAAACCAATGCTGTGCATGTGAAAGTTGGAAGAGCTGCCTCTCTGTGGCAAATAGAAGGTGGCGCTCTTCCATCACTGTGATGTCACTGCATAGGAAACCACACACCTTACACAGTAGAGGGAAGTGATATCAAAAACAAGTCTGTCCATGATTTTAGTCACATATTGACACTGAGTCAAGTCAATTGAGACATGTATGTCAACTGTTAGGTTTATTAACAATGGAAACAATACTTTAAAATATTCTGACAGTATTCACTGAAGATCAAAGAAAACAAGACATCAGGGATTAGTGACAGTTTACTTAATTGTCAAAACACAAATATGGCATCAAAGGTATATACTGTCAATATGTGTTTTTGTGTAATATTTTAGTTTCTTACAGGTGTGTTGTGATCATATGATATAGCACCTAAATATATGATTTGCGAATGGTGGCCAATGAGACATTGTTTAATAAGCAGCTGTTCGGGGGGTTTGGAGTAAAATCCTAAATATATCCCACAAGTATTAGTTTTGTAAAGGTATGAAAAGGTGACACGACTACGGGAGTGTTGTGGAAAATGCATGACAGGGAAATATGAGTAATGCAAATAATAGTTCGTGTGTGTAGAATGTGTTGTTAAATAATTATTCACAGTATGTTAATTATTTAACCCTATTTTGTTGATAACTGTCTTATTGTGAAATCCATTTTTACTCAAATTTCAAATGCCTCAGCAAGTGTATTTTCCTGTTTGATGAATACTTGTATTATATCTAAAATGCATAGATTAAAATCCCTCGTCTCTGTTCCGACTCAATTTCAGATTTAAGAATGAGAAAGAAACTTGTTTTTGCACGTTATTTAATTGTAGATTATTTTAATGATAAACTAAAACAAAATCAATGTCACGAATTTGAAGCTCTGCAATATCACAATATTTAATACATTGGGCATGGCAGACTCTATGGCAACGGCATAATATGTCAAGGGAAAACACTGCCATCTTGTTTCTGACATTAAATCAGTGGTGCATTCTCCGTGTTGTTGAAGTGTCGAGGCGAATCATACAGCTTTATGCAATATAAAGGCAATCTCCAAATGTAAAGCTGATTATTTGCGTGAAACTGACACTTACCTGAACACCATTTTGTCAGAGACTACAATGATCTTAGCTCCTTACAATTGGTCCAGGCCAAATGATCTTAGCCTACAATCGCTTTGTGCAAGTGGATGGCGATTGTAGGCAAAGTGCTAAGATCGTTCTGTGCAAGTGGGCCCTGGTGCCTGACTCGGAGAGTGTGGGTTCAAATACCAGACATTGTTATGTTACTAATCCAATATTAAAATAAAAATCACCAGTCAAAGTAATATTCCTTTTAAATACTAAAAGTATTTTACTTTTGGCAATTTATGAAGTGTATATGGGGCAAAAAAACATCTAAATGCATTTTCTTGCACATTTACGTTTTTGGCCAATAAAAACATTAAAATTTTAGTTTTTGAGCGGGGAAAATTAATTTTTATTTTTTTTCTAATTCTTGTAAAAATACGACCACCGTATCCGTAAAACAAGAAATAAAATTGGTCTGGTCTAATCAATTAATATTCAGTTAACGATTATCAATCTCTATGATCTACATTGATAGCCAGACCTAATGTTCACAATGACAGTCCATACAGAGTTTTACACAATGCAGAAATCCAGTACGGACCAATTTTGTAAATGAACACACAAAAGATACATTGCATTCCTAGTGATGTACCGCCTCTGTGGTGTAGTGGTTAGAGCGTCCGCCCGGAGAGCGGAAGGTCGCGGGTTCGATCCCCAACCGCGTTATACCAAAAGACGTTAAAATATGGTACTTGTTGGTCTCTGCCTGGCGCTCGGCATTAATGGGCACAACAAGGACTGGTCGGCTCGGAGTCAGTATAATGTGTCTGAGTGGGGTATTCATGCTTCACTGCGGCATGGTATCTCAGTGGGCTAGCACTATAAAACCAGCTTCAGTCTGGGCTAGTACAAGCAGCCGCACATACACATACACACGCTTGCATGTCTTCATATGAGCGAAATATTCTCAAGCACGACGTTAAACCAAATTTCACCTCACCTTCACCTCCTAGTGATGTACAATATTATTCACTGTATCAAATATACAGGGCCTTCTAATTAATTATTTGATCTCACGGTAAAGTACACAACCAGGCGCGTAGCAAGCCAATATTTTCATGTAAGCCCGATAGGTTGCACAGCTTTACATTTAGATAGAATTGAGGGCTTGTCCAACCTTTATAGCAACAATCATGTGTAAGCCCGGGCTTTGTATAATGGTAGGTACGCCCCTGACAACACATTTTTCATTACTTTACGGAACCCTTGAACTTAATTGTACTTGGCCCAATTGACCCCTAGTTTTGAAGGTCAAGGTTAAACCCTGAATCAATAACAGCTGAAAGTTCCTGTCAAATGATATCATGAGTTGTTTTATGTTCATTGAGGTTCTGTAGAAATGATGGTCCTAGGTTGATGACTACGGCAAGAAGATTGAATGGGATTGTTTGTTTCAGATTATGCCTTCCCCTTCATCGTCCTGGTTGTGTCAGTCGTGACCAGCGCAGTTCATCTAGCTTCCATGAAGGATCAGGTATGTGTTTCCACTAGCTGTAGCAGTATAGGGGACAGGTCTAGCTTTATAGGGGACATGTGTAGCAGGATAGGGGACAGGTGTAGCAGTATAGGGGACAGGTGAAGCAGTAGGAGTGTAGGGGACAGGTGTAGCAGTGATGGGGACAGGTGTAGCAGTGTAGGGGACAGGTGTAGCAGTGTAGGGGACAGGTGTAGCATAGTGTGTAGCAGTATAGGGACAGGTGTAGCAGTATAGGGGGACAGGTGTAGCAGGGGACAGGTGTAACTTGTATAGTGGACAGTATAGGGGGACAGGTGTAGCATAGGGATAGCAGGTGTAGCAGCATAGGGGACAGGTGTAGCAGTATAGTAGACAGGGGACAGGTGTAGCAGGGGACAGGGGCAGTGTAGGTGTAGGATAGGGGACAGGTGTAGCAGTGATAGGGGACAGGTGTAGCAATATAGGGGACAGGTGTAGCAGGATAGGGGACAGTGTAACAGTATATGGGGACAGGTGTAGCAGTGTAGGGGACAGGTGTAGCAGGATAGGGGACAGGTGTAGCAGTTATAGGGGTGTAGCAGTATAGGGTAGGGACAGGTGTAGCAGTATAGGGGACAGGTGTAGCAGTATAGGGGACAGGTGTAGCAGTATAGGGGACAGGTGTAGCATTATAGGGGACATGTGTAGCAGTATAGGGGACATGTGTAGCAGTATAGGGGACAGGTGTAGCAGTATAGGGGACAGGTGTAGCAGTATAGGGGACAGGTGTAGCAGTATAGGGGACAGGTGTAGCAGTATAGATGGTGTAGCATGTGACAGGTGTAGCATAGGAGGGGACAGGTGTAGCAATATAGAGGGGGACAGGTGTAGCAGTATAGGGGTGTAGCAGGGAGACAGGTGTAGCAGTGATAGGGGACAGTGTGTAGGGACAGTAGCAGTTTAGGGGACAGGTAGCAGGTAGGGGACAGGTGTAGCAGTATAGGGGACAGGGGACAGGTGTAGCAGTATAGGGGACAGGTGTAGCAGTATAGGGACAGGTGTAGCAGGATAGGGGACAGGTGTAGCAGTATAGGGGTGTGTAGCAGGATAGGGACAGGTGTAGCAGTATAGGGGACAGGTGTAGCAGTATAGGGGACAGGTGTAGCAGTATAGGGGACAGGTGTAGCAGTATAGGGGACAGGTGTAGCAGTATAGGGGACAGGTGTAGCAGTATAGGGGACAGGTGTAGCAGTGTAGGGGACAGGTGTAGCAGTGTAGGGGACAGGTGTAGCAGTGTAGGGGACAGGTGTAGCAGTATAGGAGACAGGTGTAGCAGGATAGCAGACAGGTGTAGCAGTACAGAGGATAGGTGTAGCAGGATGGGGACAGGTGTAGCAGGATAGGGGACAGGTGTAGCATGGTGTGGGACATGGTAAGCTTGTCACACCAATGATCCGGGTTCAAATCTGCTCTGGTACGCTGTGTGAAGCCCATTTATAGTCTCATAACAGTATTAATTTACAATAGAACATGATACAAGTAGTATGGTGGTTAAGGCACTGGCTTGTCACACCATTGACTCATGTTCAAATCCCCTCTGGTAAACTATGCGAAGCCCATTTGGTTTTGAAATGATGTTTTTGATGTAAAAATAGTCTCCTGAGCTTGTAGCATTGTGGTTAAAGCATTGGCTTGTTGCAACCAATGATCTGGGTTCTAATTACCAGTGGGGATAATATCAACAGTATCTCATAGAACCTACTGAAGAATAGGAATGTCATAGTGTAGTAAACTTTAACAAAAAAACAAGCTTAAAATGAACTAACAGGTATAACAATCTAGTTTAGGGGATCCCGGCCATTTGCTGTGTATGCTATGGTCGAAATGCATAATGATCTTCAGTTGTGTCAAACTGAATATAGTGGTTCTTTTGAGTTCTTTATAACCAGGGGCGGTCGGGTAGCCTAGTGGTTAAAGCGTTGGCTCGTCACGCCAAAGACCCGGGTTCAAATCCCCACATGGGTACAATGTGTGAAGCCCATTTCTGGTGTCCCCCGCCGTGATGTTGCTGGAATATTGCTCAAAGTGGCGTAAAACCAAACTCAGTCAGTCAGTCTTTATAACCATAGTATGCTGGAGATATTTTTAGTTTTTTTTTTTACAAGTTGTAAGGTTTAGAGGAGTTGTTTTGTCAGTGATTCCTGAAATGTTTTACAAGATGTTTACTTTGGAGGAGGTTTTTTTTCTGATTCTTGAAATTGTATTACTTTACTTTCAGAAAATGAGGGATCTTATAGTCGACAGTTTCACAAATGAAAGAAATGCAACTATTCTGATTGGACACTGGCTTCTCCATGCATATGGAATCATATCTCTCACATTGCTGAAACAACCCGATTCCAAGCCCCTCTCATAGCCTTGGTGCCATTCCCTGCCATTTTCTATGTGTTAACGGTGAGGTTCTCTAATCCAGATAACCTTGGAAGGACCTGAGTTCCACAGAGCTGTTGTTTGTTGGTTATGTCACAGTGTTCTATAGGGGGCGGTGGGGTAGCCTCATGGTTAAGGTGTTCGCTCGTCATGTCGAAGACCCGGGTTTGACTCCCCACATGGGTATAATGTGTGAAGCCCATTTCTGGTGTCCCCCACCATGATATTGCTGGAATATTGCTAAAAGCGGCGTAAAGCTAGTCACTCACTCACTCATGTTCAATACAGCCTCGTGTCTGCAAAGAAGAAATGGAGGTTACTCTGCAGTGAGTAACCGTGGCAACAGCAGGAACCTTGACAGTTGATGATCTGCAGCGATATTCCTGGGCTTCTCTTTAAAACTATGGACATGTCTTCAAGGATTACCATGGTTACAGATCTCCGTAAATTCATCATTCCATGTAGCTATGTGTGGATGTTGTTCTGAAGCTCTGAAGATGAAGGCAGAAAATGAGACCAGGGTGCTAAGTTGTCTCCCTCAGTTGCCAGGATCTGCTAGTCTGGACTGAATGCCAATTATGATCCTTGATCTGTCTCATTCTCTCTCTGTTCCTCACTACTCTTTCATTAAGACATTTTCATTTCAAACTGTGATAATGTGTATAATTATTTTTGTCCCACTGGAACCTTGATGTTTTCAGTGTTGTGAATTACTAAGGGTAAGATAATGCAGTAAGGATAGACTTAGTGATAACATTTGCAAATCTAGCGTGAAGGTCTTATCACATGGTTGGGTTATTTCAACATATCTGTAAGTCTTTCTCCTTAACTATTGGTCACAGTGAAAAGTGTTCTAACATTTGATTCTGAACTGCTTGAAAGGTATAAATAAGCAGAGGTACCAACCCATTCAATAATTTTCACATTCATATTGACTTTACACCAGAAATTACTACAGTACAGACATCTCGGTGAAAGTATGAATTTATATGGATGTCACGACACATAAGTTTCATGAATCGATACGTATCACGATACCCATGTCACGATTTGATACGTAACATGATACCTATTTTCGGAGCATTATTGCATAAATTTAGTTACGTTTTGAACATTAATATTTCATATTTTATAATTGTCCATGAAAAGATCTACATTTGTGATTCTCATCTCATTGTAACGTCAGGGCAGTGGGGTAGCCTAGTGGTTAAAGCGTTGGCTCGTCACGCCGAAGACCCGGGTTCGATTCCCCACATGGGCACAATGTGTTAAGCCCATTTCTGGTGTCCCCGCCGTGATATTGCTGGAATATTGCTAAAAGCGCGTAAAACTAAACTCAGTCAGTCAGTCAGTCATTGTAACGTCATCAATAACACTTCCGTCCATCAAAATACTCAAGATCTCTGATTCTCAACCCAAAAAAGGTTGGGCACCTCTGGTATAAGTACAATTAAGCAGTGTACTAAAGTTAGCTCAGAAAGCTCAGTTAAGTCCTAGGAAGTACTAAGAATTTGGAGGTCACAATATTTTGGGGAAAAGAAAGTTCACCCAATGCGACATCATAGGATAGCTTGTTAGATCTTAATGCAAAGATAACAATCTGATCTGAATAAGATTGCCAGGTGACAGTGAATTCATTGCACCGGAATCTCAAGTTCTGATCGTAACAATGAAATGTGATTTGTATTTCAGAGCATGGCCTGAGTACATCTTGTTTATTTCTGTTTAAATAAAAGAATATTTGAACGCCGTTTTGATATTTCAGTAATGGATCAATACCAGGAATACAATACTATTATTAACGGTGGGGTAGCCTAGTGGTTAAAGCGTTTGCTCATCACACAAAGACCCGGGTTCGATTTTCAACATGGGTACAATGAGTCAAGTCCATTTCTGCACCGTAATATTGCTAAAAGCAGTTTAAAACTAAATTCAGTCCCTCCCTCATGCATCATTATCATGGCCATGATGGCAAAAAGAAATATATCCATGAAATATGTCATGCATAAATATCCACAATGTGTCCCACAATCCATAGTGTTAACTTTATAGGCTTACCTTATGTTTGTTGATGTCCATTGGTGCTTCAAGCTGTTTTAGCACTACAATGACTCTGTGAAACCACCCTAATAAGGAATACCAGAAATTACTGCCAGTGCTAGACAGCGCCAGTTTGGCTTTGGAGAAAATATTTATTAAAAAGCAACAAAAACATGTTGGATATTTGCAAAATTTATTTAAGAGAAATCTTAGCAATTGTGTGAAAAGATAAAATGAACAAGGTTAGATAAGCTCAATGTGAGGGTGTTAACAGGAAGGATAAAAACACCTGAAGGTGATTTGACATTTCACAACATATAAATGGTTCAAATTTACAGAAAAAAGTTGGAACATCTTACAATAATAAAAAACGGTCAGGTGATAGACCATATTCAAATTATTGCAAAAATATACAGGGATTCAATATACACAAGCTGATGATAGTATAATTATAATTAATTTAATTTACACACCAAATTACATGCAAATGATTCATTCCACACAAAACGACACAAAAGGGACAAACAGGTATCACATGTACGGGGAAAATGATAAGATCTGAAACTGAAGGTAAAAATTTGACTTAACAAAAAATGGTGGATAAATTTGGACTATAAATTAAAATAGGTCCTTGAAGGGATTGAAATGGCAAAAAACACCAGGGTTACAAGATTGACTAAATGCTTGACTCCACACAGTGTGCAGCAATGAGATAACTTTTATACCCTACGTCTCCTATAATCACAGAGGCTCTCCGACTATAATCAGCTTTGTCCAAAATCATATTTGTAGTATTGGAAGAACTTTATCAAAATACAGGAATGTCATCATTGTTTACTGCAAACAAACCAACATCATTATGTCATTAGTTAGTAAGATATTATTAGTGTTGTTACAGCTTGCGTAACCAAACCCTTTCAATTTAGATTTTACATCTTGAGACATTATGTTTAAATAACCTGAGAAATGTGTGTCCAATACCTGAAGTTGGTCTGTATTCAAATCGACCTTCACCCCAAGGTATATATTTCTCCATTTGACCTTCACCGGTGAGCCAGTGCTTGTTTACTCCAACCTTCTGTCAGAGTTCAACAGGCATGTATAACCCATATTCACCTGTCAGGGTTCGACCGACGTTGAGCGGCAAGGCAGTTAACAATGGGTCGTCAGCAGATTTGGTGGAGGTTCAACAACATGCAATGGAGAGGCAGTGATTTACACACTAATAAGTAGCTTCAAGCCCTTCAGTTGTTTCATATGATCAGTTAGAACGGGTTACAAAAGACAGGAACACCCCTGGGTTTGGCATAGGACTCCGTCCACATGTGATGTATGATGAATGAAGAGTGAGTGACACTAGTCGTACAGTGATAGGCAGATGCTGAGATGTGGAGACAGTGCACTGGATCTCTCGTGTAGATAAAAGGAGGGAAACGTCTTCAAATAGCACTATTTCTTAACAGCAAGTCAGTAACATCAGTCGTTGACTTCAGCTTTCAGTCCAAGTCTAATACTTTCAGTCAGTCCAGTAAGCTTTGCTTCTTACAGCCCATTTGCAAGGAGTAAAATCTACTGATTTGGGCTCATAGCAATTTGTTAGCAGGGCTTTCAAACCGTATGTATAACCATGTTCTGCTTTCTTGCTTTTGCACAAAACATTCTTATGTTTATGTAACATTACAAAGGAGGTCATAAATGTTAGTCGATGACGATTCAAAAATATTATTATGCAGTGTTAACATTTTATGCTTGGTTTAAATTGCATATATATACTTATTTGTTCTTGATAGGATATATATCCACCACAGGCAAAATTAGAATGAGGTTCTGTGTTTTCTGTAAGACTAGACGGTAAACATCAAACCTGTGAAAGAAATCTGGGAACTTTCAATGAGTCTTTGGTATCTCAACACTGAATGTTGACCTTAAATTAATTCATTTCAATCTCCGAAAATTATTTACAGGATTCATTAACTCCCCAGAGCATCCCCAGTTACAAACTGAATTAGAAGAGGAGCTAACTCCTGTACACAGCAATACTGAAAGTATTTTCAATACAGTTAGAAACCAAACCCCCGAAATCAATAACAACCAAACTTTTAAACCAGTGACACCAAAAATATATATGTGTATGGTGTACTGTCTAATGTGAATATCATAGAACTTCTACACATTTTTCATAATCCCATAAGTGACTTGTGTTAAAAAAAAAAATCAAACATGAAATAAACCTTTTTAGAGCAGGGATGTGTAAAAACTACCCACCAACACAATCAACAAAAGAACACTACTTTGGGTCAACAAACAATATCAACAACACATAAAGCATTCCCATTACTGTGCCCGATTATGCAACAAGAACAACTGTTTTCCATCTTGAAAGTTATGCAAGACATGATTCTGTCCTTCTACTTTGATGTACCCTTGAAAGTAGCTGAGATCACTGGTCAGTCTAGCTGCACATATTTATGATGACAAACACACCCTACTACTAAGCATATGATAAGTATTTTTGTCAACGACACATTTGTAACCTAAGAATACCGACCTTCTCTGCACTGTTACAAGAGAAGGGTAGATAGGTTGGTAGCAAGACTTCAGACTAGAAGATTTGTTATAATATCAATCTACAAAATGGGATAAACGTTTGAAATAATGACCTTTCATGCAAGATTTTCAGGATGTGTGAATGAGCTGAATGTAGTCCCAGACTAGACGTTGGTCTAGTCTCACAACCACTGAGAAACAAGATTACACTGAATACCACACAAATACAGACAACCCTGAGTTACAGGTACCTTTCATTAAAATAGTACAACACAATTGATTTTGTCAGTCAAGAATAAATGGGTAACTAAACAAGTTCCTATACTGAACCACTGAACAAAGCTCCAGCTGAAGTCATGCTTTCAATACCAAGAGTTTCTAAAGAGCACAAAATTCCTATGATTGGTTTGAATATTTTGGACACCGAGAGACGCAGGCACAAGGGAAATTCTGCCCTCCATGAATGGGTTGTTGGTTGTTGTGCAGCATCAGCCCCATTGGCGAGAAGCACTTCCATGTGGTACACAGCTAAACATCAAAGTACCATAACACCTGTAGGGTGGACACCAGCAAGCTGTCATGGAAAAAGATCATCATTTAAAAAAGTAAAGTAAAGTCTTTTTGTAGTGATGTGAGGATTTCTTCTATACGTCAACCACCATTTTCTTATGAACATCCATAGTTCCTACAACCTGGAAAGAGAAAGAGACAAAATATACATAAGTGAAAAGTAGAAATGTGACTCCAGAAGAAAGTTTAGTCTTTTCTATTCTATATGTTGCCTCATACATACACTGCAGATTCGCAGAAGAAAATTATTAATTTCAGAAACTAGTCTATGATGAAGAATATACGGCAATCTACTAGTTTTCATACCTCAAACATTATGCTTAGGACTCTCGTGTTATTTTTTTAATGTTGTTGACGAATAATTGTATGCATGGAAAATGTCACACTTTCAGTACTATCAATATGGTCACCCATTCTATCAACCTGTTCCAATCTTGCCCAGTCTTACATAAGCAACAAAGCTCTGCACACCTGATCATGACGGGCAATAAACACAGTGATCTAATCTATCCATCTGATCCAATCTTGTCACCTTTTACATAAGTCATAGGGTTCTGCATACTTGTTAGTGACAGGCAATGAAAGGGTGACCTAATCTGTCCATCTGATCCAATCTTGTCACCTTTTATATAAGCCATAGAGGTGAGGTGAGGTGAAATTTGGTTTTACGTCGTGCTTGAGAATATTTCGCTCATATGACGACGTGCATGCATGTGTATGTGTATGTGCGGCTGCTTGTACTAGCCCAGACTTAAGCTGGTTTTATAGTGCTAGCCCACTGAGATACCATGCCGCAGTGAAGCATGAATACCCCACTCAGACACATTATACTGACTCTGAGCCAACCAGTCCTTGTTGTACCCATTAATGCCGAGCGCCAGGCAGGGACCAACAACTACCATATTTTAACGTCTTTTTGGTATGACGCGGTCGGAGATCGAACCAGCGACCTTCCGCTCTCCGGGCGGACGCTCTAACCACTACACCACGGAGGCGGTCATATAAGCCATAGAGTTCTGCACACTTGTTAGTGACAGGCAAACAATACAGTGACCTAGTCTATCCATCTGATCCAATCTTGTCACCTTATACGTAAGCAAGCTCTAGAGCCTTGTTCATGACAGGTATTCAACGCTGTCAATCACCAAGTCTGATCCATCTGATCCCATCTTTTCACCTCTTACATAAACAGGCCAAAGTTCAAGAGTATATGTATATCTATCATCATACTTTGCAGGTGGGTAGTAAAAGACACCACTTACAGCACAGAATTCTTCAAATGAGATTTTGCCATCGCCATCAGTATCTGCATGGATAATCGTCTTGTCCACTATCTGCTGGAGCTGTGTGTCCTTCAAGTTGTTGCCCACCATCATTTTAAGGACTTGGAACAACTCTCCATTCGAGATGTACCCATCCTTGTCCATGTCGTATATCTTGAATGCAACTGAAATTGGAGTTTAAAACAAAAAACAGAATTAGTACACTTGTATATAGCAAAGGGCCCCATTCCATAATGTGACCTTAGCACTAAGGTGATCGTAACTCCCATACCTTAACATAGGCTTACGATAATCATAGAGCTAAGATCGCTTTATGAAACAGGGGCCTCAACCACATAGCAATTTCAAACGTGGATTTGCCAAAATTTGAAAAAGTGAGTGAATATATTATTTGAAAGAAATTATTGATTCTGTAACAGTGGTCAAACATGGTAATCTATGTTTCATATTGGTCCATAGTTCTGGACATTTACAAATCATTCACCAAAGGATCAAAACAGATTGCCAAAACACGTCCAAAAATCACATAAGCATTTATCTCCTGCAAAATGCAAGACTAATGACAGTACACCTACAATGCTAGGTTTTCAAATTCTTTCCTTTATAAATTTATCTTAAGCAGGATATCAGGGCTGACCACTGTGACAAAGACAATATTTCTTCACTGTAACTGGCACTATCTTTATTATTGTATAATGCATGTATGGAGACAGGTTGTACATTCATAACTATTTAGTGACATTCAAGAACCAACTAATTCATATATAACAAATTATATGTATTGCTCTTAGTTACTTGACATGAGTGTTACTGATTCCCACAAGTGTGGCATTGCTATGATAGTGCCAGTTATAGTTGCTCGACGTTGTATGCAGTACTACACATATCTATCTAGGAGGGGAGAACTCATTATCATAAAAAGGCTAACAGAATTATGGCAAATAAGGAGAGTAAATCTGGGATTTACAAAGAGTGAAAATACATAAGTTCACTTGCAGTAATATAGGTGCCCTACAAAATAAATATTGTGTGAAAATATTTTGTGTGCTGGAAATAAATAACATGAAGAAAAGACTTCTAAATCACACAAGGTTGCAGTCTAACCATATTAAACAGTTACTCTTTTAATTGAAATCTCAATTATATTTATGCAACTTGTTCATGCAATATCAATTATCTTTTTCAAATTTATCAATGTACGTAAATATTTATATATACCAATACTTTAAGACCTAAGAATATAACAAGAATTTGGGTTGCTATTAGATTGAGTGAGAAAAATGTTATGGTTACATGTAAAGTCAAAAAAGACCACAAGCCTAAGAAATCAGAGATGATAGAACAATCCTATGAAACACACACATAGATGTTGTCAGTAAAAAACTTACAAATTACATATCTCTATCAGACAATTGTTCTCCAGTCTCAGCACCGTAGTGATAAGTTAGTGATACATATTGCAGTTCAAACAGTAAGAACAATGATGAAGACATAGGTCCTGTAGCTCACTTCGAGACAAGGCACAATACGTTTTTGGGGCCTGGTTGGGCCAAACAAGGTCATTGTCAAAGGACCAACAAAATGAAAACTATTCTGTATAACCATGCCTGTACACACCAAATAAGAATCAATGATAAACCAAAATTTATCTTTCAAATGTCAACATGTAATGATAACTTTAATTAGTACCTGTATTCATTACTGAATTGTCTATGACTGTTCTTTAAGTCTCTGTTCAGGATAACTACAAACGTTCCCTATTGGATCAATTACTTCAGATTATTACAGATTTCTCGATGCCATGAATATATGTTAAGATCAGTAATACCTGACTGTAAAGAAAACCAAGATAATTAGATACAGAGTAACCAAGATAATTAGCTCCAGTGTAATAAAAAACCTTGCGAAAACAATTACATTTTAGAGGTCCCAAAAGATCATCCCTCCAAAAAATTAGAAATAGTAATGAAAATGCAATTTAACATAAACATAATACCCAAGAAAATAATTCATTAACATTAGTAACACCCAATAAAATAATTAACTGACAAAAATGAAACACCAAAGAAAAACTATCTTAAGAAACACCAACGTGAAAATGAAAAAAAAATGTCTGAGCTAAACAAACAAAGATATCCATTTCTCCTTTGTGCCTGTGCTCACACACAAAGAATACCTTCCTTCACTGCATAAGCATTTAAGTCTCCACCAGCTGGTTAAATGACATTAGTTTTATAGGGCCCTTCATATGGCAAGTGAACCAAACTTTCAGCAATTCTTCTCAAAGGATTTTTACACGGTTTTAACATGATTATACATATATGTATCTCTCAACGCCTCATGTTTGACCATTCTCTGGCCAGTGACTGTTAAACATCATCATTTCATACAAAAGGTGGGTAGTGGCTCTGAGTGCAAGATGCGTGCACAAAAGCTAGAGACAAGGGTGCAGTCCAGTGAAGGAGTGTCACAAAGTTTACATAACACTGTATGCATTGGAAACAGTAATCTTGAAATTTCAGAGTAAAAAGATGGGTCAAAATGTATGCACAAACATGCAAATTTTGAACTTTAATTAAAACTCTTACCTGGTCCTATAGATGCATTAATTCATTTAATCACAATTCTAAAGAACATATACCATACCCTTCAGATTTCACTTCGCACACCTTTTTGTCAGAGCTGTATCTAGGATTCAGTTAGGGATTCGAGGGACAAGATACAGGACAGAATGGCCCCAGATCCTATCACTAGCATCTATGGGCAATATGGGGGAATGACAAGATGAAGCATGGTTGTGAGGATAACGGCATCCTGGTACATAGTTACCTTCTCCTACCTTGCTCCTCATAACATGCACTTGCTCAATCATTCCCCACACATTTAACCATTTAAGGACTCCAGAACAACTACAGTTATTGAAAACAACTGGCAAATCTATCGGAGCTCTTGTACTTTTTCATTAACAGTTACAATATATATCATGATAAAGAACCAATAACAAGCATTCTAAGTCATTATTAAACATCATCCTTCAAAACCTTACAAGTTCAGACTTGTCAAGAAGCATGTTGAGAGAATGAAGAGCTCCATGAAAACAATAACATCAACTATATATGTAAAGAAAATACTCTATAGAAGGATATAGTAAGAGTCACTAAAGTCGCCCCAGTCCTTCACCTACAAAGGACTGCTAGATGCAGTGAATGGCCATCCTGTATCATGTATGTTAAGGGGGTCCGAGGGAGAATCCTAGATGCAGCCCTGGGGCAGTAGCCTCGCTGCCTGATGAGATTAGCCACAGAGAGTACGTCACTGATCTGCCGTAGCAGATGAGGAAAGAGGTGTTAACTGCTTAGTGGGAGTAGGTGGGGGTGATCATGATGATGTCGTCTTGAACATCTAGGTAAAATGCTTACACATACATCTTAACTTGGACTCCTTGTCTCCACGAACACTGAACTGTGAAATACCTTCGATGAATTCTGGAAAAGAAACAAAAAGGACTAATTGATTTCTGTGAAATAATCTGACTGCGATAAACTGAAAAACTTGCCAATAAGAACTTAACTTACTGGAATTGAACAAATGATCTTAGTAATTGTAATTCAAAGAATTAGTAACATGTTCAAATTATTTTCGGTACATTTCAGAAACTGTATCAGGTCCTATATACCTAGGATAAAAGTCAATACATCCAAAGACAATTATGGACACTTACAAAACAAGTATGGAGGGTCAATGTCTCATCAATAATTGTTGATAATCAGAACATAGCCAATGTTAGATTTTTCTAGGTCTGGACCTGTACTTTTATAACTGGTATTTGTTTGTTTGTCGTTTAACACCGCACTCAGCAATATTCCAGCTATAAGTTGGCAATCTGTAAATAACTGAGTCTGGACCAGACAATCTAGTGATCAACATCATGAGCATCGATAAGGTGGAATACGATGACGTATGTCAACCAAATCAGCAAACCTGACCACATGACCCCATTAGTCGCCTTTTGCGACAAGCATGGTTTCCTGAAGACCAGTTCTAATGAGTGTTTACCCTAAACCCTGAAAAGTTACAGGCCCTAAGGACCCAGAACCATAAAAAGTTGTGGGTCCCGATCAGAATGTGTAGGCCCTATATTGTAGCTTCAAAGTAAGTAATTCCCAGCAAACAAAAGATGTGATAACTAACAAACTGTGTTAAAGAGTTTAATTTAACTCTAGTGACTTACTAGTCTTCATTTAAAACAAAATCAACATCCATGTCAAGGCTCAAGTCTTCTGAAAAGTCTTAATCAAATGTTCAGACAGGGAAATGTCAGTTATTGGGGATGAAAAAGCTGTCGTCCATAAGAACCTGCAGAAAACAAAAGCTGTGGGTCCAAGTGGTTTTCAGTCGGCTTCGGGCCTAAGTTAATTTTGAATGATGATTCTAACCCAGATCTTCATGGGTTCATTACTGGTAAGTTAAACATGTGAAAGAGCTAAATGAGTGGGTGAGCTAAGAAATGTTTTCCACATGCCAATAGTCCAGCCATATCAAGTGGTTTGTAAAGTCTAGACAAGGCAAAACCAGTGCCTGAAAGAATTAGCAACAATCCTTGCAAAATCAGACACAAGAATACACACTGCCTTTACCATACAACCAACAGTGTGCATGGGGACCTACCCAAACCCAGATCCCAACTCATAGTTGAAGGCTGAATGACCATTCCACAGTCACTCAAAAACACTTTACCTTTAAAATCTACCTCCCCATTTCCATCAGTGTCAAATATGTCTATAACTCTCTGCACCAGTGGGTTTTGCTGCAACTCTGGTAGGGACATGAACTCCTCCACGCTCAAAGATCCGGAATTGTCCAAGTCAAGTTTGCGGAAGCGTTTTCCAAGCCTCTTGATTTCATCCAGGTCAACTGTAGAGAGATGACATAACCAAACCAAAGGTAACATTATTTAAATTATGATAAGTCCGCACCACTTTCAGCATGAAGAAATGGAATAGTGGGGACCTTGGGTGTCTGGTTTAGTATGCAACAGGGATAGGGACTAAAATAGTAATTAGTAATAATTACAACAATAAAATTAATCATCCAGAAAGAAACCATGTTCGTCTATGCAAATTTTACAATTTAAAACAATTTAATCATACACCTTATCACTTTGTATAAAAACGTTAAGATCTTAGATGAAAATATTTGGTGCCATGTGAAGTCTTCTCAGCTTATTAAAAGATTAGGAATAGTAAAGAAATTATATGCTCCTTGTTGTTTGTTGCAGTCAAGAATATTTCGGCTATAGGACTACTGCCTGTAAACATAGCAAATAGTCAAGTCCTATACCAAATCATAACCACATCATCAGGCTATGATGACACTCTATTTAAACATATGCTAGCTGCATCAGTTAATCCTGGGGCCATATCTTGCAGATGCCAAAAAGGGAAAAAACACCTTAATTCTGACTGTTCAATGATGATACTTACAGTTGGAGCAAAGCTCCATGGGCAAACTGTTTTCATTTCCCTGAAAAGAATGACAAAATTATTAACATTATGATTCATGTTAATATTCAGACGGCATAGTTCTAACTATATCATACATTTTACGGATCACTAGCACCCTTCTTACTTGATTGAGTGAGTTTAGTTTTACGCCGCACTCGGCAATATTCCAGCTATATGGCGGCGGTCTGTAAATAATCGAGTCTGGACCAGACAATCCAGTGATCAACTGCATGAGCATCGATCTGCGCAATCGGGAACCGATGACATGTGTCAACCACGTCAGCGAGCCTGACCACCCAATCCCGTTAGTCGCCTCTTACGACAAGCATGGGTTACTGAAGGTTCATTCTAACCCGGACCTTCACGGGTCTTACTTGATTGAAGTAAGATCAGATCCAAAGACATTTGTGCATTAGGACTGAATATAATTTGTTTCATTAAAGTGCAGGCTATTTGATTAAGTGTGTAATCATCATACACACAATGTCCGAACAAACTAGAGATGTAATGGTCCAGTTCTTTCAACTCTTTCTATGTTCAAGTAATTCATAGTTCATGCCAATTCTCTGCAAAAAAAGGCTTTCTTTTCAGGTCCATGGCAAGCCAGGGATTGTCATGGCTTTATCATAACTGTGAATAATGTACTTTAACAGAATCACTTTTTCGGATGCAACTGACCCATACTCTACCTCACAACTAACCCTAAGGAGAATAATGGGGTGTTTGATCAGAATAGTCTAGCGATAGAGTTGGTAGTTTGAGCTAATTAGTGCTACAATAGGATTTGTTAGAATAAATATAAAATTACTGAACCATCATTAGCTAAATGCACATGTTAAATTCAGAAGACAAGTTGTTTATATCTAGGCATACTTAATACACTTTGATCTGACAGACTTGCAAATGGACATTCAGGTCTCAAAGAGCAGGGCTCCAGATAAGATGGATATCTGCGTAAATTATGCATGGATAATTCAGATATACGCATAAAAAGTCAAATCAATGCCTGAAAAATAGGCATAACTTTCTCAGAATACAAGTCAGATTTTGTTTACATGCGTGAACCAAACCTGTCAAAATATTGTTTCAGTCCTACACATCCGATCTTAAGATCTCGAATAGTGTTGGTTGTCTGTATTGAAGCGAAGATTGTCAAGTTTGTCCGTTTGATCTCTGTTAATATTTCTAATCCACGTTTGGTTCACAATTTGTTTAAAAGCCAGCCTTTAAATAACGTTACTATCACAACATTTCCAGTCCGTATCAGTAATAATACAGCTTTAGGGCTACTGCAGATTACGTGATAGCCTTAACCAGCATAGGAAAACATTTAATGCACAATAGCTCAATGTGCATTGTCATTTATTTCCTGTCATCTGCAGTAAGAATGACTAACCGAAAGAAACTAGACGAGTTATTTGAAAGCAAAACTGTTTGAGTTAGCAAGGATAAGTAATAAAACCATGCAACCTGTGAAATACTCCTCATTTTATTTCCATCTGGTATTTTGATTTTAAAGAGTGAAATACCCCCTGAGTCAAAATAATTATCTGGAGCCCTGAAGAGGTGTAGCCCTTGGGCTAATATAAACTATACACAAGTAATAAAGGTTAATAATGAACAGCACTGACCAATATTAATTGGTACACATTTAAGTGTGAATATGTAAAAAAACATCCAGGGAATGAATCTTCAGTTTGGTGATACTCGGGGGAACTCGACTAATGAAAACCAAACATCTTTGTTGGTTGATTGCGTCCTGTGCCAATTTGTACAAGGAACTGAAGTTACGATCACAAGCAGACTTGAACATGTCGTAGGCTGGAGGCTAAATGAGCCCCAGTAGACTAGCCTAGTGCTAATTTGTGTCGGAATAAGACCTACGTCGGACACTCGCATTGGTACCATGTAGCACATGGAAGTTATTACTTCTCAAATTAATATGTTCCCAGTAATTATATTCTAGGTGATAATCTCAAATAGTGCTTGGTACCACAGATGCTTATGGTATCGACTGCGATTCATTGGCAGCAGAGAAAACTGCATTGACGATCCATTACCCAAACTATATTCGGTCGGCTCTTGGTATGATTCCGCATTTCTTAGCTGTTACGATATTGAATAAAAACATTAGAATCACTACTTCTTCGAACGCTACATTCAATCGTGAAAATATATGCACATACGTACCATATTAATAGATCGAAGACCCCTAAATATATTGTGTCACTAATATCTACTTCGTCGCCGAATGTCATCCGGGCACTCAGCAATTTCATTACTCTTTGCGCACAATCTGGAAAACCCCGGTACGTCACTTCCTTTGAATCGGTGACATGGCGGCCGGCGTGAGTCTTTTGCCATTCGCAATCTGAATCACTCTGAAATCTTGATAATCCTCGGGACCAGCGCTTGAAATTTTGTAATTTCATACTTAAGAAGAGTGACTGTAGCATCAAATATCATTATTTTTATTCCAGACTCTATACACGTACCAGGGAAACTTCAGAGCCTACAAGATACTTGTAGCCGCTCAGTACAGTGGTGCTGACGTGAAAGTTGCAGACGGGTTTAAACTCGGAGAAACTAATAAGACTAGCGACTTTCTAAGCAAGTTTCCACTTGGAAAGGTATGAATTTAATTAATATTGTGATAACCTACGATGCCCGCTCTCGTCCAGACTTGGGATTAGTTACTGCCCCGAACCCGGAAATATAGAAGGGTAGCCTAAAGAAATAACCTTGCATTGGTCTTAATCAACTACCTAATGCAAATATTTGACAGTCAACTGAATTAAGGAAAATTGCACAGCCACAGGTAACAAATCCTTTTTATGATGGCAGATCTCAATTGAATTCTAAGTTTATAGGTTTATAGGTTGATCAAATAAGTCACTATCACTATCAGTCAGTATTGGACATAGAACTGCAACTGTCACTCCCTCCTTCAAAGGCACTTGTGTACTTCTGTGACACAAGTGTAAGACCTGGAGGAATATTATGAGATCTGCAGGATTTTAAGGTTCTTGTCATTACATGTAACCATGTTCTTGCCACTCTAACAATATTGCACCAGTATGAAGTACCGAAATTGTGAATAATTTGTTGTATACAAGAAGTATTAGGGACAAAGAATGGGTGTGCGATGTGATGCACTTCAGATGGTGATAATCTTGAAGTTTCTTTTGAAGTTGACTTGTTTCCATCTTTTCATTATCCAAATAATTCAAAAATAGGTCTTGCTGACAACGGGTTATAGGAAGTTACTCTTGCCCATATAATATTACTAATATGCAGTATTTTTTTATAAATAGAACCTTGTGTGCAGGGAGCAGACTGCTTTAGGCAAGTGCATATTGTTTTTCCTGACAAATGCAAAAGGTTGGAAAGATCAAATGAGCATTAACCTGCATGGACAGGGCAGAACTGAAAAGAAATCTCCAAGAGACTTCACAAGCTAACAATTTTATGTAAAACATTTTTATGCCATTACAAGCCGGGGGGGATATAGTCGACGTGCTTCTCTGTCCGTCCATCCATAATCATTTTGTTTCCAGAGCCTAACTCAAAAGCAGTTCAATATTTTCCAACAGAAATTGGTAGATATATCAAACAGAACCTAAGGTGTTGCCTTTTGCTATTTACAGATTTTTAGTGATATATTATTTTCTGTTTCCCTGGAAATTATTAAGACTTAAGTCTCAAAAGGAGGGTGGTGATTCGTTTCTGGAGCACAACTCGAAAACTTCTTAATATCTTTCAGCAAAACTTGGCAGATATGTGAGGCAGATCTCAAAGTGGTGCCTTTTGCTATTTACAGATTTTTGCCTTTTTTCCCCCCCGGCTTCCATGGAAACGATTCAGACTTTGTTTCTGGAGCACAACTCGAAACCATTCAATATCTTTCAACAGTACTTAACAGATATATTAAACAGAACCTACAGTGGTGCCTTTTGCTATTTACAGATTTTTGGCATTTGTATTTTTCTTAGTTTCAGTGGAAAAGTTCTGGACTTAGTCTCAAAAGTGAGAGGTGGACTTAGTTTCCGGAGCACAACTCAAAAACCGTTCAATATCTTTCTTCAAGACTTGGCAGATATATCAAACAGATCTTGAAGTGGTGCCTTTTGCTATTTGCAGATTTTTGGCATTTATACTTTTCCTGATTTCCATGGAAACGATTTGGACTTAGTCCAAAACATCAAGTTGGACTTTAAGTAACTCTCAGATGATTTGTTCTTTCAAATTTGTGGGGGCAGGGGGGCATTTGTCATCTTCTGATGACTCTTGTTTTTAAGATACACTAATTGCTTACAAGTCACAAGTCACCTGCTCTAATTATCCAACCCTCTTCTGCTGCTGCTGGTCAAATGTTGAACATTTACGTTATATATATTCTGTGGTTGGCATGACATGAGGGAGTTGTATGAGTATTTAGTCTGCATCAGCCACGAAACTTCCTCCTTCAAAGGCACTTGTGTACTTCTGTGACACAAGTGTAAGACCTGGAGGCACATTATGAGACTAGCAGGACTTGTTGGTTCTTGTCACTACATGAAATCATCTTCTTGCCAGTCTAACAATGCATCATGGCTGCAATCGTCTCGTGACTAACAGTTGTCCTATGAACCTGTCAAGGCAAGATATCCTTTAACAACTATTTTCCTATAAAAATGCAGCTGGTTTAACTACATGAGTGCATCAAGGTCATATCCAGGGTGGTATCTGTTAATCAAGAACCCCTGCATTTCATAACATGCACTACATTTTTATAAAATTTAATCATATTCACAATCTCAGCAGGCACATGAACCTTTTGTGTTGTCGCTTTAGTTCTATTATAATTATTCATTTGTATTATTTTCAGGTCCCTGCTTTCCAGTCAAAGGATGGATTAAGCTTGTCTGAGAGCAATGCCATTGCTTATTATGGTTAGTATCTCACATGTCCTGTTAGGTAACCAGGGTACCCTAGGCTCCAAATACACATTGTAACACAAAGCCTTTCACACAAGTGAAGTAGAGGGTCAGTGTTTTGAATCTTTTTTGAGTCACACCCTTGCGTCTTGTTAAGCAGAAGCTCTTCTGTTGTGGATACAATAATTATTTTGAATTTGTCAGGGAACTCAAGATCTGGGTATATTTGCACAAAGAGATCTTGGTTCTTAACAGGTTTAGACACAGCCTTTATTCCAGAAGCCCAGAAAAAAACTGGGAATGTTTCTATTTTCTCCACACCACAAGTCAGAAATGAGTAGTTGATCAGTTGGAATTGGCTATCTAAAACTGCTGCAATAAATTCATTTGTCATCTTTGTCGCACCCCGCTCGCCTACTGTGGATTTAGTTTAAGGTCTTGGCTAAAAAGCCTGTTTATCATCATGATACCTGATATTTCAGTGGGCAACCCCCAGCTGAGGGGGAGTAGTCCTGAGGCCGCCTCCCAGGTGCAGCAGTGGACCTGCTTTGCTGACAATGAGATCCTCCCAGCAGCATGCACCTGGGTCTTCCCTTGTCTTGGCATCATACAGTACAACAAACAGGTTGGTGGGCACTAGGGCTGTATGATTCACTCGTGTATTCAGTGAATCCAACCATTTCCCCTCATAAATTCACTCTGCTTTTCGTGATCACTAGAATTGAATACTCATGAAGTGTTTATTCCCTTATGCAGAGTTGTTGCTATGTTTATGAAAGCAAAACTAGGACATTGTAATTCCACCAAGCAATCTGACATACCCTTCAGATATCTTCCTATTGAGTTATGACCCTTGTTGCTGATGAAAGTACTGCATCATATTTCAGTGTTGGGAACAGGGAAAGGGATAATACTTTCTTGCTAATATAAAGAAGTATTTCATGAAAGGCGTGTCATTTGCCATCTTTCACTATCTGATTGTTTCATTTTTATGGATGTTTGCTGTTGTAATCAAAACGTGTTTCCAGGACACTGAGAGAGCCAAGGAGCAGATCCGTACTGCCCTGGATGTGTTGAACAAGGTGCTGCTGACACGCACATACCTTGTGGGCGAGCGCATCTCCCAGGCAGACATCAGTGTAGCCTGCAACCTCATCCAGCTCTACCAATATGTAAGTACAATGTGGAGCCTGGAGGTAGCTACATTGTGGTAGTATTACGACAGAAGAGGTGGTGGACACTGCATCATGTGTGGATGGTTACAGTGGTATTGAATGTACACCATTTATAAATGAGGTAGACGGTATACTATTTATGGATGGTTACAGGTTGTTTGATTACATGGATGGGTGGGTTGGTTGGTTACGATTATCTTTTATTCCTCTGTGAGACTTGCTCTATCACTGTTGGTCTTGCGAGTTTAAAGAGGATATAAAAACTGGTTGGCCGAGTTTCCATCACCAGTATTTGTGACTGGAATCCTAAACCATCCTACATGACCAGAAGCTCACATCTTATTCTATTTAGATATCAATCCACTTGAAAGTAGTTGAAATGTTTATATTACATTAACAGGGTTAAGAAATTATAGCTTCTTAAGAAATGCAAAACATCCACAAGCCAAATTCTGTTCTGCATTTGTGTATATTTTTTGTAGGTGTTGGATCCTGACTTCCGCAAGTCTTATCCAAATGTTAATCGTTGGTTCACTACGCTGATCAACCAGAAGGAGTTCAAGACTGTTATCAAGAACTTTGCACTATGCACCAAGATGGCTCAGTTTGATGGTATGTATATTGACTATTGCTCCCTTTCAACCGGTGGTGGGGAAGCCCAGTGGTTAAAAATCCTTTGCTTGTCAGGCCTAAGGTCTTGGTTCGATACTTCACATGGGTACAATGTGTGAAACCCATTTCTGATTACCCCACCATTATGTCGCAGGAATATTGCTAAAAGAAGTGTAAAACCACTCATTCACTAACTCCCCTACCATTTGGTATTTGGAACACGTAATGAGAATCAGGATCATCACCACCTCCAAGGAAATGGTTTTCTACTGATGATGAAAGCAACAGTGTCATCATCCGTAACATTTTAATGTATGATCATCACTGTGATGTATGATCTTCAGGGTCACCTGAACAGGTGATGTTCAGATTGATCAGCTGTCATCAGTCGTTATTGCAATGCAGGTTATGTTTTATTCCTCTGTGAGACTTGCTCTTTCACTGTTGGTCTTGTGAGTTTAAAGAGGATATAATATTTGGTTGGCCGAGTTTCCATCACCAGTATTTGTGACTGGAATCCTAAACCATCCGACATGACCAGAAGCTCACATCTCCTGCGGGTGTTGGGGTAGCCTAATGGTTAAAGCGTTGTCTCGTCACGCCGAAGACCCGGGTTCGATTCGACACATGGGCACAATGTGTGAAGCCCATTTCTGGTGTACCCTGCCTTGATATTGCTGGAATATTGCTAAAAGCTGAGTAAAACCATGCTCACTCACTCACTCACATCTCCTGCGTTTGGTATTTTCATGGTAATTTTTAGGCATATTTTACTGTACAACCCAAGGAACCTTAACATGGGCTTGAATCATGTGTCACCCTGAGTGTAACAGTGCACTCTGTCTAATTCGGACCGGCTTGGGACCGACTAAAAGTCAGAATTAGACAGCAGTCAGAAGTGCACAGATTTTAATGGAGTTATCTCACTTTGACGAGCATACGATTGTGCTTGAAACACATATAACATGAATTGTATAAAGGACGAAACACTTTCTGACAAAGTACATGTACATTTGTTTATTACATACATGCATATACTTTAGTATCTGAAGAAATCACTCGTCAAAGACTGTGGTTACAAGTGACAATTCAGTACGCGGGCGTTTTCGTGGTCGCTCAGACATTTTGACCTGATTTGATATCACACTGTGACTGAAGGCCTCTTAAATGCATAATGACATTGTCACTGAGTTTACATGATCATCTCAATTATAGTTTACAAATTAGTGTTAATCGCATCAAAGGTAAATAAGCGTTCACTGCTAGCCCAAGCGGACTTCCTGCTCGGTAAATAAGACAAAATACACAAACCAATCAACGGATTGTGTATTCAAGGTTTATTGACCAAGCTGACTTCCTGCTCAGTCCGGATTATAAAGCCATGTTTTTACGTGTAACTACCTTTGTGGGCTGACAATTTGGTCCGAAATCCAATATAATGAGAGTCCGAGATACAGAGCTTTTTCATTATGACAACAAAGAAGGATTACTTCGAGACCGTAAGTTCAGTCCTGTTTATACAGCAATCCGAGAAAGACAGGGTTTGACAGTCCACTGTACTTTGTCATTACATACCTGTGCTTGTGGTAAACATCTCAGACCTGCATTACTTCTGAAATACTTTCAAATTGAACAGGTATGTATGTGATATTATCTGTATCTAGTATCCCATACAAATCCAGGTTTGACTTCGTGGATTGATTTATTTGCTAAACTAGAAGCAGACCTCAGTAAGCAAACAGGCTCGGTACCACTGTATTTTCCGTGTGTTGATGTAGCGACGTATGACGTGACGCGACCACGTGGCCATCTACCTCATTACCTTTCGTAATCGCAAAATGCTTTCGAGGGAGGTGCGTTTTAAATTCCTAATGCAAGCTGTATAATGAAATATTACCATTTTTAACTGTATTTTGTGAATATTATATATGCCCAGGGGTTCATTAAGAGAGAAAATAAACAATGTGAAGTGACCTTTTTAAAAATCCTTTAAGCTGACCAACAATGGTGTTGCTGGAATATTTTTCCAAGTTTTTAATCAGAACTGGCTGAGGTTGAGGTTGTTTAATCAGTTAATTAAAACAGTTCTTAAAAGTTGTTAAAATAGATGTTTTCTACTTTCTTCCACCAACTTCAAGCCCTATTATTCTTTCAGCCAAGAAGTATGCAGAGCTTCATGGAGGGCAGAAGGAAGGCAAGAAAGACAGCAAGAAGGAGAGCAAGAAGGAAGCCAAGCCAGCCCAGAAACCCAAGGAGGAAAAGCCAGCAGAGGTTTGTCAAGTGTCTTCAAATGCACAAACCTTTAACAATGTTGATGCAGATCAGGTTTACTGTAAAATGACCCAACTGTAGGCTGAATGAATATTAAGCACTTTCTTTGAGCAATCAGACCCCTTATATACCATCCTTCAGGAAAGTAGAACATTCTTTCTTTGATAATTTGGGGAGATATTCTTAAGCTAATGTTAAAGAATCGCATTTATTTACAAAATGATAGACTATACAGTCATGACATAGAATTTGACCATATTTTGATATTCATTTGGCTTTCAGGCAGAAGAGGCACCCAGGCCTGAGAAGAAAGATCCCTTTGCTCAGTTCCCCAAAGGGTGAGGCTCAATTTTGCTTCAGATAAACATTCCTCAGTGTCAGTCATTTGTTTACTTTGAAACTGTTTGTCAGAAGTTCATGCAACTTATCCTAGTTGATCATACACTGGCTTGTCACACTGATGGATATATTACCCGTGAAAATCCGTGTTAGAATTGTTATTGGCAGGTATACGCTCAAACTGCAATTGTTGCATGTACAGTACCCTGTGAAGGTCCGGGTTAGAACTGGTCTTCAGTAGCCCATGCTTGTCGTAAGAGATGACTAACGGGATCGGGTGGTCAGGCTCGCTGACTTGGTTGACACAGGTCATCGTATCCGAATTGTTTATGTATTATGGTTATTGATGCTCATGATGTTGATCACTGGATTGTCTGGTCCAGACTCTTATTTGCAGACCACTTCCATATAGCTGGAATATTGTTGAGTGTGTAAAATTAAACTCGCTTATTCATTTACTGATGGCTTTTCTCATGAGGGTACAATGTGTGAAGTTCTTTCTTCGTGAACCATTTTGTGGCTATAATGCTGAGAGTGCAGTAAGACCTAACTTCACCCCTACTGTCCTGACAATTTCTGTTATTTATTTCTTTATGACAAAATATTCTTATCCGTCTAGATTCCTCTGTGAGACTTGCTCTTTCACTGTTGGTCTTGCGAGTTTAAAGAGGATATAATATTTGGTTGGCCGAGTATCCATCACCAGTATTTGTGACTGGAATCCTAAACCATCCTACATGACCAGAAGCTCGCATTGTATTTTGGGGGATTTTTCATAGCACACATTTATCTCTCCTCCTCCTTACTGTTAAATCAATATGTAAATCCTGGTAAGACATTGACCCCTGAATATATGATGTTGTTGATGCTTGTATGGTGTTGATGCTTGTATGATGATGATGCTTGTATGATGATGATGCTTGTATGGTGATGATGCTTGTATGATGATGATGCTTGTATGATGATGATGCTTGCATGATGTTGATGCTTGTATGGTGTTGATGCTTGTATGATGTTGATGCTTGTATGATGATGATGCTTGTATGGTGTTGATGCTTGTATGATGTTGATGCTTGTATGATGATGATGCTTGTATGATGATGATGCTTGTATGGTGATGATGCTTGTATGATGATGATGCTTGTATGATGATGATGCTTGTATGGTGTTGATGCTTGTATGATGTTGATGCTTGTATGATGATGATGCTTGTGTGATGATGATGCTTGTATGATGATGATGCTTGTATGATGTTGATGCTTGTATGATGATGATGCTTGTATGATGATGATGCTTGTATGTTGATGCTGGTTGATGATGCTTGATGATGCTTGTATGATGATGATGATGCTTGTATGATGATGATGCTTGTATGGTGTTGATGCTTGTATGATGTTGATGCTTGTATGATGATGATGCTTGTATGATGATGATGCTTGTATGTTGTTGATGCTTGTATGATGTTGATGCTTGTATGATGATGATGCTTTTATGGTGTTGATGCTTGTATGATGTTGATGCTTGGATGATGTTGATGCTTGATGATGATGCTTGTATGGTGATGATGCTTGTATGATGATGATGCTTGTATGATGATGATGCTTGTATGATGTTGATGCTTGTATGGTGATGATGCTTGTATGATGTGATGATGCTTGTATGATGATTGATGCTTGTATGATGATGATGCTTGTATGATGTTGATGCTGACGAGGATGTTTTGTGATGCTTGTATGATTGTAATATGACAACTCCAAATGTACTTTGTAATGAAATAAAAACACATAAAAAAACATATAAAAAAAACAATTTTAGCTTCAACTGAATTTGGTGGGAGTGCTCCTTTCTGGAGCAGAACTTTGAAACCTTTCAGTACTCTCCTTCCACTTAGCTATATACACACCATAACATTTGACATAATCATAACTCGTAGACACATTCATGAAGAGTATTTTGCCATTGCGGGGGATATTGATGACTTTGTCTTGTTACAATATCTATTGCTGATCTTTATTTGGTACATGTATGTAATGTCATGGGAATAACTTGTCTGAAGACAATGCGGGATAGAATAGGTCTTCAACAACCCATGTGCTTGCCATAAAAGGCGACTATGCTGGTCTTAAGAGGCGACTTACGGGATCAGGTGGCCAGTTTCGCTGACTTGGTTGACACGTCGTCATCGGTTCCCAATTGCGCAGATTGATGCTCATGCTGTTGATAACTTGATTGTCTGGTCCAGACTCGATTATTTACAGACCGCCGCCATATAGCTGGGATATTGCTGAGTCCGGCGTAAAACTAAACTCACTCACTCTGAAGACAATGGACAGTTTTATATGTATTGAAGTTTGCTGACATGCATTTTTTCCCAATCAAACCAGTATACTGGATCTGTGCTGTTTTCAATTTTATTCTCGTCTTTAACCCATGGACATCATGTTCCAGGAACTTTGACTTTGATGAGTTCAAGAGAACGTACTCCAATGAGGATACAGAGAAAGTTGCTTTGCCATATTTCTGGGACAAGTTTGAGAAGGATAATTATTCCATTTGGTATTGTGAATATACCCAAGACCTGTCGTCAAAGATGACCTTTATGGTGTGCAATCTTGTGTCGGGTATGTATTTGAACTCAGACAAATATCTGTCATTTGTATGTTTTCTTACAGGTGAAACCTACAGAGAAAAAATAATCAACAAGCAGTTCCGATGCAAATTGCCCGTGAAGGTCCGGGTTAGAATGTGCCTTCAGTAACCCATGTTGTTGTAACTGGTTGTAACGCTGACTTGGTTGACACATGTCATCGGTTCCCAATTGCGCAGATCAGTGCTCATGCTGTTGATCACTGGATTGTCTGGTCCAGACTCGATTATTTACAGACCGCCGCCATATAGCTGGAATATTGCTGAGTGCGGCATAAAACTAAACTCACTCTGATGCAAATTTTGTAATGAGAATTCTGTCTTTCTTATGATAGAGAAGTAGAAACCGTTTTCAGTTTCCCATTAAGGATTTGCTGATGATGCTGGATGTGGATGATCCTACACTGACGACATGGATCACAGCTCATGTTAACACCATCAATTCTACTTTCTGTTGTGATATAAAAGAAAAAGACATTCACTCATTAGGAGTGTTTTATTTGTCTTGGACCATACCATGCTTTGTTATGTCATTGTGGTGGTAAATGTTTTGCAAAGACTGACATTAGAGAAAATTAACATTTAGGGTAATGGATCTGTTGAATTCCCCAGAACTCATGGTTGGATGTGCTCAAAAATTTGAAATGAGCATTATTGTCCCCTGCCGCAACGCCTATTCGGCGGCCATATGTACGTACGTCCCGTCCCAATTCTTGTTAACGCGATATCTCAGGAACTGGTTTACCCAATGTCTTCAAATTTGGTGACATCCTACATTGGGGGGATTATGCAGACACCAGTTGATTTGGGTGACCTTGACTTTATCTTCAAGGTCACCACAATACTTTGACCACTTTTCAAACTTATTGAAACGCGATATCTCATAAAACATTGCACCCAGTGTTTTCAATTATGTAGACAGCCTACATTGGGTGATTATGCAGACACCAGTCATATCAGGCATCTTGTATGTGACCAAAAAATAAAAAGTAGTAAATATGTTATAGATATTCCATTCTATAGCGGCGGGGGACATTGCCATATCAGTGGCAAACACTTGTTAAACTTGGATTGGACCCTGCTTCGAAAACAGTCAAATACTGTCGGGGTCCACGTACTTAACAAGACATGGGGGGAAAAACACATGACCACATGACTGCTGGATAATGATGCCATCGGACACACTGACGCTGAGAGCAAAGTTTGTGCTAGTTGACTTAAACATTTTGGACACAGACTGCATTAGTACATTTCCTGTCAGTGAAAATAAATGTATTTAAGTGGTTGTCATTTCTGAATCTGCAGGTATGTTCCAGCGTCTTGACAAGATGAGGAAAAATAGTTTTGGAAGTCAGATTATTTTTGGTTCAGACAAGAAGAACAGCATATCTGGCATCTGGTTTTGGAGAGGACCTCAGTTGGCTTTCGAGGTAAGCGTATGTGGAATGTTGGACATCGTGATTGATTTGTTATTTCCAGGCTGCACCAGTACAGGTGACTTTTGTTGTCTTCTCTCATGTGAATCAGTTTACCAGAACCCCCAGAAATGAAAACACATCAGTTTTCTTGCTCTTTAATTAGTTGTGTATACCAGACCTGTCTGACATCTGCATGTGATAGTTGATGTATCCCACATACCAACAAATGTGTGAAACTGCAACTTGTAACTGTTTCACTAAATGAATACAAGAACATTTGTAATAGCTTGTAAGTGATGGGAGTTTGGTGTATTCAAAGCAATAACAGTTTGCTTCTAATATGAGGGTAGTGCTCTATCTCTTAACAAAGCCTGCCAATTTGGGAGTTACATTAGTTGACAAATAGAAACTGGTGAAATCAGTACCCTGAAGGCATAATCACTCAATATATCAGGTCGAGTTATTTACATGCTGTGAGGACCGCCTCCGTGGTGTAGTGGTTAGAGCGTCCCCCCTGAGAGCAGAAGGTCGCGGGTTCGATCCCCGACCGCGTCATACCAAAAGACGTTAAAATATGGTACTTGTTGGTCCCTGCCTGGCTCTCGGCATTAATGGGTACAACAAGGACTGGTCGGCTGGAGTCAGTATAATGTGTCTAAGTGGGGTATTCATTCTTCACTGCGGCATGGTATCTCAGTGGGCTAGCACTATAAAACCAGCTTCAGTCTGGGCTAGTACAAGCAGCCGCACATACACACGCATGCACGCCGTCATATGAGCGAAATATTCTCAAGCACGACGTTAAACCCAATTTCACCTCACCTCACCTACATGCTGTGAGAACATTGCGGAGGGTGACATTAAACACGCAAACCCTAGTTTCACATGTCTGTATGTTGTTTCAGTTGAGCGAGGACTGGCAGATCGACTACGAGTCGTATAAGTGGACCAAGCTGGACCCTAACGATGCCAAGACAAAGACTCTTGTGAAGGAGTACTTCACCTGGGAAGGAAACTTTGATGGCAAGGAATTCAACCAGGGAAAGATCTTCAAGTGATTGAAACATTCACAGGAAAATCAGTGCTGAACAATTTTACTGTCATCCAAATATGTGATAAAGAAAATGAATAAACACGGTGTCAAGGGAAAATTGTGTGATTTATGTGCTGATGGTTGTGTAGCTGATCATGTTCACATGCCAACACAACAACCAATTCAAATACTTGACTGCACTGTATCATGACTGCATCTAAATACAAGTAGGTAAATACAAGCTAAAGATCACTTCACATTCTACACACATCCTCAAATGAAGCACATATGCATCTGGGAAAAGTTGAAGGCCGGGGTGCAAATCTCAAAACAAAAAAAAAAAACATGGGTTTCCAAGTAGTCTACCATTGTCTACTCATCAGCAGTGTAGATGTTATCTACCCATGAGTAACAGGACTGTAAGGGCTATGGGTGCCTGGCAAGAGCCTGGCGATGTCAAAGGTCAACCTTGGAATTGACTACTAGAATAGATAGTGCCTTAGAGTAAATGTCCTGACAACCTTTTCACAATATATGTTGACTAAAAATTAATTTGATTAGCATATATGAAATTTCAAATTTTACATATTTTCTGAAAATAAAATCAACATGGTGATGTCGGCATCAAACAAGTGTACAGCCCTAACCCTGCTCAGCATGGGGTCGGGGGGAGGGGTGGCATTTTCACAACCTTCCTGAAGTATGAAACTTTTAGACAACTCACGGGCTTGTTACTATGGAAACGCACCTCTTCATCTGGCCACCTGGCTGGGACAGGGAAATTCAAAACTGGATTTGAAAAAGAGAAATATATTTTCAAACTGTATGTTTTGTAGGATGTCTGCATTCATGCATTTTACAGTGAGCCGCCTTAACACTTCTTTACACTATGGCATCATCAACCGGTAAGTCAATTTTGTGATATTTCATGGAATGTACTTGACTACTGCTTTGCTTTACATTGAAAGACCCTTTAACAAGGCAAGGAGGCCACACCCCATCTGTTTATAGGTTTGAACCCCAGCCTTTAAGCACCTTGTAAGTTTGAAGTAATTTTAGTTATCGACAAGAATGGTTTGTTGTTGTCACACAGCAGTATTCCAGCTGTAAGTTGGCACTTCATACTGACATTTGTTCCATCGCCATTTGAACTGAACCAGCCCTGAAGCGAAAATCGCCACCTAATCGGTTTGTTTTTGTCAGTAATTTCAAAACCAGCACTTGTTTCAATGAAAACTTGGGGAGTCCTTAACCTTGTTCCCGATGTACAGTATAGATCGGGCAAAGGTATAAGGTGTAGGGGTAACTACATTCCTTAAAATTATTTACACAAGTCTACTGGTATAGTTCAAACACTAGAATGGCCGCAGCTGTATTACCATACAAATAAAACCATAACAAGATGCATATATAGCTACACATGCATAACAGCCATACAGGTTGACTTTATTGCTTACCTGTAACAACTGATCATGTCAAAACGTAAAGCGTTATGGTCTCGGTTATGTGGCTGGTGTGCAGGTGGAAGATATTTGAACTATTCAAACAGACTTGACCGATTGAACTATATATATATAGTCCGTTTGACTCATTTGAGACCGAGGGGCGGTGGGGTAGCCTAGTGGTTCATTTTGTGGCCCCTGATTCTCAGAAACTCGAAACGCATGTCTTAGTCGGATACGTGGGAAAGATCGTGCGAAAAATCAGTATAAATGGCCTGTCCAACACCGCAATATCGCTGCACATGAAGTCACACTGAGCATGCCAAGGTTAACCCAGGAAGAAAGAGAACGAGCAGGGATAGTTGAATGGCTGACCCTCTTAGTTATTTCACGAAATGACTGTAACATATACAGCACGCTATTACTGGGTTACTGCCGGGCTCACTGTAGGCTATTTTCAACGCCCAAAAAGGACGAACGGCCAAACTGGGTAGATTTTGCCGATCATTATAAGATAGAACGTGACTGGAATTACACGGATCATTTTTGTCAAATCTGGAACACAAGTAATCTGAAACCAGAAAATATGTGCTCCACATTACATATACAAATCCACGTGAATGATCTTTAACATTTGAATCGCTGCAAGAAAAAGTCAGGATCATATAACTCGACTACAAGGTCACTATACACTGCCAGCAAATAGCGTGCGGTTAATTGTAGTATCCAGGGAGTTCGGCTGTTACACAGGTTGCAGCTGGTTCGACCACATGAATATGTGATACATAAGCATGGTATTTAATTAACATAATGAGTATAATTTGTCCACGCCGTACACGATTGTGGTTACCGAATTTGAAAAGCTCCGGAAACTATCGGGCAAAAGAACGTACACAGTTGAAAATTGATTTCGTTAAAAAATACACACGTTATGCAATCATCACTAGTTTGAAAACAGTAGCCAAAACAATAGATCATCGAATAATTATTTCTTGTTGACTTCATTCTAAGATACCATCAAACATGGATGTACATGCATTGCGCCCGGCTGTTCAGTAAAGGCGTGGTTACCATATACTCAACAACATCCAAAGTTAGCTTTTCATTTGTTTAAATATAATTGCAGGAGTTGACTAGGACAAAATGACCTTCAATTGCTCCGTGCACATTTCTTTAATGCAGCTATAAATGTTATGAGCACAGTCCACGCGGCACATGAATACGCTCTCGACCAAATCACCGAGACTATAATAACTGTGCACCTGACATGTTCACGATCCAGTAAGTGGCCTTACCTGACAAGCATATGTTACTGTTTATAACCCGGATTCCCCTGACCAGGTCCATGGTTAGAACATATCCAGGCTTACAGTTACATTACCACAAATCAAATACACGTGGCACAATACAGCTCTCCATGACAATACAGATACTCGTGAAGATCCTGGTTAGAATTGGTCTTCAGCAACCCACGCTTGTCGTAAGAAGCAACTAACGGGATTGGGTTGTCAGGCTCGCTGATTGTTTGACACATATCATCATGTTGCTTAGATTGATGCTCATGAAGTTGATCACTGGATTGTCTGGTCCAAATTCGATTATATGTACAGATCGCCGCCGTAAAGTTGGAATATTGCTTAGCGCGGCGTTACACAATTCACAAACAAATACTACAGTGGTATGTTGATATTTTACGATGCTTCATTGGCTAATCATATTTCAAATATATATACTACAAAAATAATGTATAGTCTGTTTGCAGTGAAAACGTACCGATGAATTTCACTTTAAACAAAAATTTAAATCGATTAAAGCGAAATTAAGATTGCGAAGCCACAAAATTTTACCTTGGCAATTGAACATTCAAATCTCAGAATTTTATTCAACTTAGGATGACAGTTGTTTAACAAACGATCAAGGTTTCAAATCGCTTTTACTGGTTTGTATTACAAGGAGGTAAGCACATTAGATGAAACACCGAGAACATGTAGGGCTGGTCTAAGTTAATGCTCATCACGTACCGCACGTGCATTTGTTTCACTGTTCCATCTACTGCGCTTACCCCCTTGTAATACAAACCAAGAATAGCGATTTGAATCTATGATCTTTTGTTAAACAACTTTTATCCTAAGTTGAATAAAATTCTGAGATTTAAATGTTCATTTGGCAAGGTAAATTATGAGGATTCGCAATCTTAATTTCACTTAATTTGATTTACTTTTTTTGTTTAAAGTGAAATTCATCGGTGCGATTTCACTGCAAACAGACTATAAAGGCATATTCCTATTGTTCCCTTTCAGAGGAGAGGCAGATTACGGTTTATGGATAATTATGATTATTCTGTTTGTCATCAAAACTTGAATTGCGCTTTGAGAATAAAATGGCACATGTTCAAGAAGGGTCACCACAGGAACTGACACAATTTGAATTTTGGGAGTTCTCAAAGCAAACCAAACGACAGATACTGAGGTTGATCACCAAACCAATTAATGTAGTTTTGTTTCAAGGGGATCACTTCGATACTGGTTGGTTACAATGCATGTGACGAAACATTGTAAAGAGGTCACGTGGTGAAAGAGCGCACTGTGTGTTAAAGATGGGGCCAAATTGTGAAATCAAAGCATAGTGGTGATGTTGGGTGGATGGTTCCAGTCAGACCAGGAATGCAATGTTATTGGTCCCGGTGTGGTGTTTTCAGGAGCTGCCTCAGTGTGCATGACTTATATTGAGTTGAGTTGAGTTGGGTTTTACGTCACATCGGCATATTTTCCAGCCATATAGTGACGCGATCAAGCCTGAATTAATACGCCGCATGACTTAAAACTGCACAAACCCGTGAAGATCCGGGCTAGAATTGATCTTCAGTAACCCATGCTTGTCGTAAGAGGCGACAAAAGGGATTGGTTGACACCTGTCATCGTATCCCAGTTGCGTAGATCCATGTTCATGCTGTTGATCACTGGATTATCTGGTCCAGACTCGATTATTTACAGACCGCCGCCATATAACTAGAATATTGCTGAGTGCGGCGTAGAATGGAATTTTTTAGCGTTACAAGCCCCTGTACAACAACCTCCTTTGGCTGTACTGGATAACTGTATCTGAAGGACCAGTCATTCAGTAGACTGTGCGTTTGTGTGGGTGCGTGGGTGCGTTGTGTATTTGTGGATTGCCATCCTCCGTCAGCGTGTTAGGTTCTGTATATATTTCGCACAACCCACCCCGAAAGGATAAAATGCAAAAGCAATTTATATTCTTTAGTTACATGTTGTTCACAGTTTATGACCATCTCCGAGAGACTGTCATATCAGTTGCTGACCCTGTCCTTGATCCACAACCCCCGAAATAAATGATCCCACTGATGTTGAATCTCAGAATGAGAAACATTATACATGATATACACATGAACACTTGAATTCAATTTTGTCCAATTTTATACCGCCACGACAACAGTCATATTCATGAACTGGTGAACTTCTTGACAAACTCCTCACTTACATCATCCCTGCACACTTCGTTACAGTCGAACACTTGCGACCCCATGGTTACATACACTCCAGGTTTGGCGAGGCACTGTAGGCAGCCTACAGCAAAACCAACGTTGAACTCGGCGTCGGAGCCTTTGAAGGCATATGGCAAGAAGGCTCCCATGAGAACAATGACCTTCTTCAGGCGGTGAGAACCGATGAACTGAGCTGTTTCTATCAGTGTGTCTGTTCCATGCGTTATCAGGATCCGTGTGCTGGGGGAGTCCCTACATACATCCAGTATGGACCCTCTGAAATATGGATCATACTCCAGAATGGACGCTCTGAAATATTGTTCCCATCGATAGATTAATCTGGAAAGAGTATCACAACAGCTAGATCACTTGTAACTTTATGAAATATTGTTGCCTATACTGACCCTTTTAAGATGATCATATCTCCAGTATGGACGCTCTAAATATTGATCATATCTTAAGCATGGACGCTCTGATTTGTGGATCATACTCCAGTATGGACACTCTGAAATGTGGATCATACTCCAGTATGGACACTCTGAAATGTGGACCATACTCCAGTATGGACACTCTGAAATGTGGATTATATCTCTAGCATGGACACTCTGAAATGTGGATCATATCTCCAGTATGGACACTCTGAATTGTTGGGATCATACTCCAGTATGGACGCCCTGAAATGTGGATCATATCTCCAGTATGGACACTCTGAATTGTTGGGATCATACTCCAGTATGGACGCTCTGAAATGTGGATCATATCACCAGTATGGATGCTCTGAAATGTGAATCATACTCCAGTATGGACGCTCTGAAATGTGGATCATACTCCAGTATGGACGCTCTGAAATGTGGATCATACTCCAGTATGGACGCTCTGAAATGTGGATCATACTCCAGCATGGACGCCCTGAAATGTGGATCATATCAAGCATGGACGCCCTGAAATGTGGATCATATCTCCAGTATGGACACTCTGAAATATGGGTCATATCTCTAGCATGGACACTCTGAAATGTGGATCATATCTCCAGTATGGACACTCTGAAATGTGGATCATACTCCAGCATGGACATTTTGAAATGTGGACCATACAGTATGGGACTACTCTAGAAATATGGATGCATGGACGCCCTGAAATGTGGATCATATCTCCAGCATTGGACACTCTGAAATGTGGATCATACTCCAGCATGGACACTGAAATGTGGACGTATGGACGCTCTGAAATATGGATCATATCTCCAGTATGGACGCTCTGAAATGTGGATCATATCTCCAGCATGGGAACTCTGAAATATGGGTCATATCTCTAGCATGGACGCCCTGAAATGTGGATCATATCTCCAGTATGGACGCTCTGAAATATGGGTCATATCTCTAGCATGGACGCCCTGAAATGTGGATCATACTCCAGTATGGGAACTCTGAAATATGGGTCATATCTCTAGCATGGACGCTCTGAAATGTGGATCATATCTCCAGTATGGACGCTCTGAAATATGGATTATATCTCCAGCATGGGAACTCTGAAATATGGGTCATATCTCTAGCATGGACGCCCTGAAATGTGGATCATACTCCAGTATGGGAACTCTGAAATATGGGTCATATCTCTAACATGGTCGCCCTGAAATGTGGATCATACTCCAGTATGGGAACTCTGAAATATGGGTCATATCTCTAGCATGGACGCTCTGAAATGTGGATCATATCTCCAGCATTGGCACTCTGAAATGTGAATCATATCTCCAGTATGGACGCTCTGAAATGTGGATCATACTCCAGTATGGGAACTCTGAAATATGGGTCATATCTCTAGCATGGACGCCCTGAAATGTGGATCATATCTCCAGCATTGGCACTCTGAAATGTGAATCATATCTCCAGTATGGACGCTCTGAAATGTGGATCATACTCCAGCATGGGAACTCTGAAATATGGGTCATATCTCTAGCATGGACACTCTGAAATGTGGATCATATCTCCAGTATGGACACTCTGAAATGTGAATCATATCTCCAGTATGGACGCTCTGAAATGTGAATCATATCTCCAGTATGGACACTCTGAAATGTGAATCATATCTCTAGCATGGACGCCCTGAAATGTGGATCATATCTCCAGCATTGGCACTCTGAAATGTGAATCATATCTCCAGTATGGACGCTCTGAAATGTGGATCATACTCCAGCATGGGAATTCTGAAATATGGGTCATATCTTCAGAATGGACGCTCTGAAGTGTTGTCCCCATGGATATATAAATCTGGAAAAAGTATCGCAACAGTTGTATCAGTTGTAACTTTATGGAATATTGTTGCCTGTACTGACCCAGTTAAGATGGCATTATGGTGAATTTGGACAACCATATATGCCCACAGTTGATGCTCGTGCTGCACTTGAAACTGTTGAATATGCACCCTTGTTGTTTGAAATATCCTGCAGTACCGTGTCGTCATTACACCAACACATTGAAGTGAGCACCAACTGATAAAATCCGCCCAACACAAAGCCGTTGCTCGATGATTTTTTACGAACGTGGTAAACGACTGGGACTGCATCACCTTAGGCTTACACAGTTAGCTCACTCGACGTAATGTGACGGATTCAAAGCAGATTCAAACCCTACTCACTCACTCCACCACTCCTTACCTGTCCTCCTGTGTGATGTCCTGGCTGTCCTTCCTGCACACCGTCCTGAAGCTCCAGGAGGACCTAGGACTGAAAGTCCTCATTATCTTCTCCACGGCCGAGTCCCCGATCTCAAACGCATAGCCTCCCTTCCGTTTGGGGTAATCCTTGTCTATTGTGCCTTTAGAGAAGACAATCGTGTTGATTGAGAAATGAATACGGTTAAAATACTGTTTGCTTTTATATGGGTTTAGAAGCAAAACGACATGAGTCCCTTTTGTAGGTATTCAGGAGAGACGAAAAACTGGTCTGAGTTTAAGTCCTTATTGCATAAATCATGCATATTCAAGAAGCTGTAATTCTGCAAATTATTAATGTATCAACGTGAAATTTCACCACAATGTAGATCTCAACATGACGATTAGCGGGGTATTATTATGTCAAAACAACCAAAGTCTGACTTAGGTCGTTCTGCTTCTCAACCCTTGAGTGAGTGAGTGAGTGAGTGAGTGAGTGGAGAGTGGTAGGTAGGTAGGTAGGTAGGTAGGTAGGTAGGTAGGTAGGTAGGTAGGTAGGTAGGTCTAATTTCACTCCCTTTTCACAGCATTTCAGTTACATCATGGAGACGTTATGGGAGGACAGCAAGCGAAAAGTAAATGCAGTCTTAGACTTTTGCCACGTTTGTGAAGCCCACAACCACGGGTAACAAGGATGTGGTACTGACATAATCAAGGCGAATCTGGGATTCGATCATACAAACTTCGGCTTCTGGCGCTCTAAGGGACGCAACTCCGGACAAAATATTACAGCAACTGATGGGACGGGGACACCCGCGGCCATAGTCTGTTAATGGTACGTGGATGTAATTTACGCCGCTTTTAGCAATATTCCAGCAATATCAAGGCGGAGGACACCAGAAATCGACTTCCACATGTGGTGAATCGAACCCGGGTCTTTAACCACTTTAAACGCTTTAACCACTTGGCTACTCCACCGCCCCCTGTTGGTGGTCAGGCTCGCTGACTTGGTTGACACATATCATCGTGCCCAATTGCGTAGATCGATGCTCGTGATGTTGATCACTGGATTGTCTGGTCCAGACTGGATTATTTACAGACCGCGCTATGTAGCTGGAATATTGCTGAGTGCAATGTTACACAATAACATTGTGCGGCGTGAAACTAAACTCACTCACTCACCTGTTAATGATAACGTGCCGGGAATGCTTGTTCAAGACAACCCAGGTGATAGCAAGGTGTTTGCTTATTGACAATCAATGGGAGCATGTGTATGTCCACTATTTGCTTAAGGAGTAGATCAATAGTCCCAACGTCTATAATATGCATAGATAAAATGCCACTGCTTGACTCAAGATTTACACAGCTATTGTAAGGGATGTGTTTAACGCCGGTTTGAACAATGTTCAAATTACATTTATATCACGATCGTCATCTTAATATAGGAGTGAGTTATTATTTAACGTCACATCGGCAATATCTCAGCCATATCGTTACGAAAACAATGTATACAATATAAAGAGAAAACATTTTGAAGATTAAAACCTGTCCACGATGGACAGTAAAAATACCAGAGAATCACAGAAATGAATAAAACTAGCAAGCAAAGCTAAAACATTTCAATTAAACAGGACAGTACAGTATAAAACACGGGCTATAGATCGCCAACAACTGAAGGTAGATCACCATACTAGGAACCGTGGGGACTTACATTACGTTTGCTACCTGCATGGACCCTAGCTGGATTTACACCATCCCTTCAGCCGCTGGCGATTATAGGAAAATTTAGCCGGCAGTTAAAAGAACAAAGATACTACGTTTAAAATATGGTAAATTTACATTTTACTTTGAAAGTTTTGGGACTTACGTACCCTCTCAGTCTTAATATAGGAGTAAAGGTGGAGTGTAATACTGATCTTAGATGGGCAGGGTATGGTCTTGACAAAACTGGAAACATATCCAGGATTCGAACCCAGGGGACGCAACTCTGCACAACGAATTGCGGCGCCTCAGACAACTGGATCCTTCTCCTATTTCCCTCTCAGGCGTTCTATATGTTGTAAGGGAGTCTAGTATTACCTTTTTCGACACTTTTCAGCAGTAAAAACGGAAGTGAGTCTAAAAATTTAACACATGATATCCATGTAGGATTATAACCCAGGGTTAAGGCGTAACGTACGAACGTCAAAGGCAACCTTGTTATTTTTCCTTGTTGTTTTATATACGCCGCACTGAAAATTCCAGCTATCTAGCGGCGGTCTGTAAATAATCGAGTCTGGACCAGACAATCCAGTGATCAACAGCATGAACATCGATCTACGCAACTGGGGTACGATTACATGTGTCAACCAAGTCAGCGAGCCTGACCACCCAATCCCGTTAGTCGCCTCTTACGACAAGCATGGGTTGCTGAAGGCCAATTCTAACCCGGATCTTCACGGCTCCCTTGTCGATCATGACGTATATGTCTTACGTAAGGTGATAAAACTCATTGGTATTTATCATTCAATGAGAGTTAGCAAACAAACATTTCTTGTAAATTATCAGAAGAATCAAATTACTATGACCCTTGTCACATAAATTTACTTAAAATGCATGACCGAATTATTTCGTTACGACCTTTCTGTCCAGCCTGTCACATTTCTTTGGCGACTTGCTTTAACATTGTCCAAGTGATTGTGAAACCAACAGACAATCTTATGAGTGGAAATAGGGGACTCAGTGCGATCCCATCTCCAGTATGCTATATTGCACACACTTAAACATTGACTTTGTTTATGGTATCTAATTGTGTGAGTATGGCATAGTTATCGAAAGGACCAAGTTTCTTTAGGTCATTGGGGAAAACATTTGAAGTACTACCTCCTGTCTGGATCAGAAGTAGGTCGTTATCGGCCATGTTATCAGCTGATGTGACCCGGCGACGAGATCTGCCTTCAGCGTCACATTCACTTGCTTTTGGCGTTCACTGCGCACGAACATTCACGAGCCCGAGCGTTGATCATAAATATTCATCTCGTAAAAGCCAGTATACCCAGTTCTTGACACATTTTATGAATTTATATTTAGGAGGCAATGATCGAATTTGTCATTACGGGGTCACAAGTTGCAGTTTTATTCCTTTTGAGGACATTCGATGCTTTAATATGGTATCTAAAAGTACGAAAAGTGTCAGCATGTAAAATATTATGACGTCATCAGGTCGGCTTGCATGAGTTTCTAAAAAAATGCGAATGGCTAATCAATGATAACAGTGTATATTTACTGGACAACCTATTGTATGTTGTATTTTGTGTAAGGACAACATGGAACAAAACAAATGCCAGCAAAACCAAAAACACCAACAAAAGCCAACCCCCATATTGCAACAGTCTAGGCTGCGCAGGAAATGAGTATGTGAATATACTGAATATCTTAGCGGTCCCCACAATGCGGCTTTATGGAGTGAATTATCTCCCATCAACCACGGTCGGATAATGTCTGCAATGTGGAGCAAAGAAATAGATCTACAGAGGCAATTATATTTGAAGCTGTAAATTCTGTCCAGTTTCCTTGAATGAACAGTAAAATAACAGCCAAGTAGGAAAATATGTGTACGGTAAGTACCCTTTTCTCAGAGATACTGTAACGAAGGTGAAACCACTGTACTGTCACTTGACCGAGTACAGCCGATCAGCCACGGTCAAGCCAGCTGAGCACAGAGCAGCACTCGACTGTAGACTTTACGTAACTGCAATATATACAGTGTTGCCTAGATATTGGTGCTAGCTATGGTGTAAGACAAAAAGTGTCGGTGTAGATCTACATCATTGTAAAACTGGTACTATATATTTTGTTCACTTTGTTTAAGAAATTCGATAACAGGAAGACACGAAAATCATTGTCGACTTGACATGACACATATATTTATAGGGTACTTACATGCTTCTCTTCCAGGCTTTGCTCAGTTTGTTTATTTATATTAGGCCTACTTATATTATCCTCACATTGTGGGTTAAGACTTAAAAAACATTCATTGCTACCTTTCTAATCACATGAACGACTATAGTAAGCACTGCTACCTGAAAAGGTATCATATGTTCGAAAACTTGATCCAATGTTATTTTAACCCCCAAACCCAGAATCACAATAAACATGATCATCATGATAATATCCTTGGTATTAAAGTGATGTTGATGATACAGAGAAAAAAAACTGTGTGATGCACCACCCCTTATTATATCCTGAGTAAGCACTGCTATAGTTTGGCAAATGAACACCTCTGTTAGAAATGAACACCTCTTCATACCTGTCACGTGCATAGCTGACCTACATTGACGAACGTTGACCTTTATGACCCAACACTGCTGCTGCTACAGGTCATTGGCTCCCTCCCTCTGCAAGCAGTCTGCAGTCTGCTGTTTATTTTGTTGACAGTTACATAGACAGATTCTTTAATACAAATGCATAAAATCGGTGATTTACAATGTGATTAGGTTGTCTGACAAAACATCCACTTGCACAGTTTGAGATTGATTGGGTCATTGGATGAAGAGATATTTACAAAAAAACGGGTCCACATGCATTTCATGCCAAACTATAGTTAATGGGACGAGGGGGCGGTTGAGTAGCCTAATGGTTACCCCACCGGGTTCGATTCCCCACATGGGTACAATGTGTGACACCCATTTCTGGTGTCCCCTGCAATGATATTGCTGGAATATTGCTAAAAGTGGCGTAAAACCAAACTCACTCACTCACTAATGGGTCGATGGCAGCAGACTGGCCCAGATTTCAACTTTGATTCATCTATCATATGGGACATTGGGACTAGGGTGCAAAAATGGTTTTGTTTGGTGCAACTATGTTTTCATGTTGTATGTACCCTGGTGCAAGTTCAGTCAAGTTCATTTAGTCGATCACTGAGTGTAATAAGAATCATACAGATCCTTTTTATTCTGAAGGCGCAAATATATTGATGATAATTATGTGTACTGTACAGTTATTAAATAAAAAAGTTTTGTACCATTTAAATAAAATATAAGCTATATCTGTGCACTGCAAAATGGCAGCCATGTAAACGTTTTATCATTATTCTCACCAACATGTGGCACATAATAGTCATGTGACCTACTGTGAATGAATTTCAAGAGATTGCCAGGCAATGTTAAAAGGTACAACTATATTTTTTGTTTGTTGTTTAATGCCACACTCAGCACTTTTGGGGTGGTTAGGTAGCCTAGTGGTTAAAGCGATTGCTCGTCACGCCAAAGACCCGGGTTTGATTCTCCACATGGGCACAATGTGTGAAGCCCATTTCTGTTGTCCCCGCCATGATATTGCTGGAATATTGCTAAAAGCGGTATAAAACTAAACTCACTCACTTACTTAACACTATTCCAGCTATATCACGACAGTCTGTAAATAATCCAGTGATAAATAGCATCAGCATCAATCGATGCAACTGAAACAGGAATAGTATTGATCTCAAATATTTGAAATGGGTGTTTAAGATCATGTAAATACCTGAAAATTGTGTTTGACATGCTGTTGGACATGCTGCTCAGACTGAATATTTTCTGCTTAAGAACTACAGTAATATGACAGGTAAGAGACATGAATTTAGGAACATCCTGGCTTTCTTTCTTCGATAATATCCAGGGTATAAGTACGATCACTCTCCACTATACCCTGGATGCATCCACGGCTTGGCTCGATAATTATATTACCTCCTTTTGCTGGCTTCGCATTCTCACAGTAGTATCAAGGATGGCTTTTGATGTACCTGTGAAGATCCTGTTTAGAGATAGTCTTCAGCATCCCATGCTTGCTGAAGGGGCAACTAACGGGATCAAGAGGTCAGGCTCGCTGACTTGTTCCAGCCACATGTCTGTAAATAATTTATCCTGGACCAGACAATCCAGTGATCAACAGTATGAGCATCATTCAATGCAATTGGGATACGATGACATGTGTCAACCAAGTCAGCAAGCACGACCACCCGATCCCGTTAGTCGCCTCTTAGAACAAGCATGGGTTACTGAAGATCAATTCTAACCCAGATCTTCACGGATGGGAGAGAGCTAAGTGCGTGTATGCAAAAACACTCAGACCAAGATTAAAGGGTCTAATTGATCATCGTTAGGGAATTCCCAGGGTTACTTCCCAGGAATTTGAAAGTATCATTAGGAATTAGTCTCATGAAAAACATTGTAATGTCCAATTGTTTCAATCACACACTCATGAATGTCAGTTTCTGTGTGTGATTTGATCATAATTGTTCTCATTAAAATATTGTGTGATTATGAATACACAGTTGTTCCAGCATAGGTTGTGATTAGAGATTTGTTTTTATTTCCCTGCTTTCAGGCTTCTAAGCCACCATTAGGGTCGTGCCACATTCAGTGCTGTTTTGAGCCGAATTTTGTTAACGAACATCAGTTTTTGCTAAGTGTTAAAGCTGTTGATTATAAACTTATGGTTAGATTTTATCCAAAATAATTACTACAAGTGAGATTATATTATATCTACCATCACATTTCTGTGTGATGTTTTGAACCATGTGACGTAAATAAGGAACCATTTTGTTCAGGTAACAAATGATAATTGCTGTTAACAAGTATTTCTTAGAATCAAGGTAAAATTGTCATTTGTACGTGGTATCAGTTGGTTTAAGCTTTGTCCATAAATCAGGGCAGGTGATTGTAGTGCACTTGTGCATGAAGAGACAACATCGGATATAAGGCCGTATGTATCTCAACACACCCATTAATCTCCATGTCAGCTTGTAGACACAAAGCCTTGCCATTACTGAGGTCAGTGATATCTTTGATGATAGATACAGTACTAATATTAACAGTGACTGTTCTGACAGTAATACATCACATTATCTTGACAAATCATAATTACAGCCATCTCATGACTATGATATCGGAGACCTCAAAGGCTTCAAGGGATTTAGTTGTGCTTAATTAAGGTTAGTGTTCAGGTGCAAATTCTTCCAATTAGCTATCTGAGTGCTCTTAGCCAAATGCCACAAAAAACAGTGTGAATTTATCGTTGATTCCCTATCTGATTATTCATATGCATTACACTACAAAGGGGGCAGTTGGAGAACCTAGTGCCCAGGGTAAGGATCCAGTAAATGTGTCAACAAGATTAGTGCCAGTTGAAGCAGGATTAAGTACTCCCCTCTGTCTAGTCATTTCAGTGGTTACTGTAGGACACACCCCATTCTGTATTGCATTGGTTACTGTAGGACACACCCCATTCTGTATTGCATTGGTTACTGTAGGACACACCCCATTCTGTATTGCATTGGTTACTGTAGGACACACCCCATTCTGTATTGCATTGGTTACTGTAGGACACACCCCATTCTGTATTGCATTGGTTACTGTAGGACACACCCCATTCTGTATTGCATTGGTTACTGTAGGACACACCCCATTCTGTATTGCATTGGTTACTGTAGGACACACCCCATTCTGTATTGCATTGGTTGCTGTAGGACACACCCCATTCTGTATTGCATTGGTTACTGTAGTAGGACACACCCCATTCTGTATTGCACCCCATTCTGTATTGCATTGGTTGCTGTGGTTATTACAGATTGGTTTGTAGGACACACCCCATTCTGTATTGCATTGGTTACTGTTACTTGGGACACACCCCATTCCATTGGTTACTGTATTGCATGTATTCTATATTGCATTGGTTATTGTAGGACACACCCCATTCTGTATTGCATTGGTTACTGTAGGACACACCCCGTTCTGTATTATTAACGAAATTTGTAATCTTTTATTTTTTCACTTTCTAGATATATAGTTAGGGAATCCAAATGTTAGTCAGTAGGGTTTAGACTCTCCCAACACAGGTCAGCTCTAGCCCTCAGCCCAGAGGGTTGTACCGACTCACTGTGGCCACCCCATGTTATTCCATTCTTGTAAATAAAATTGTGATTAGCTTCTTGTGATTTCGGACTCTTTGCTGAGTTAACTCCTTATCATAATAGTAACCTGTTATGTTTGGGATTACACTTTCTCAGTTTATTTGTCGTTTAACGCCGCACTCAGAAATATTCCAGCTATATGGCGGCGGTCTGTAAATAAATCGAGTCTGGACCAGACAATCCAGTGATCAACAGTTTGAACTTCAATCTAGGCAATTGGGATATGATGGCATGTGTCAACCTAGTCAGCGAGCCTGACCACCCGATCCCGTTAGTTTCCTCTTACGACAAGCATGGGTTACTGAAGACCAATTCTAACCCACATCTTCACAGGTACGCTTTCTCAGGAAAATTCAGATTCTAGTACATTTTTGGGTTAATAATTGTGTAATGAAGAATATAGTATCCGTTCCTTATGAGTTAATTAGCAATGTCAGTATTGGAGAGAAATACAGAAAAGACATTTCTTTCAGTATCACTTAATCATTTAAGTATTTAGCTTAAAAGTAAATTACAATATGACATCTTTGAATCAAAACCTGTAAATAGTGTAAAGATCTGCTCTCTGCATGCAGAACAGGATAAGATCCTGATATCAAATATGGGTCCAGGTCGTATTTACTGATCCTGATAATGAGAATTATTCAACAACATTGATAACAAAACAGGGTAACATGCAAAAACAGGCCAAACAGAATTCCTGTACAGAGTCAATTAAAACACTGTATAGACAAGAGGTCACCGTGACAATTCAAGTAGAAATTCTGGATAACTGTATGTGTCAGTGGTGGAAGAGTGGTTGAGCTGTATACCTGTTTGACTGGTTGTCTTCAGGTATCAAACCATACATAATGTAGCCCAGTAGCCACAAATGTCAAATGTACCTGTAGTCAACCACTGTGGTTTCGAACTACGCTGTATCAGACTTAAGGTTGTCTCAGCGTAAAACCTTGGTCCCCGCATATTCCTTATTTTATTATCATTTTGACCTGTGAAGATCCGGGTTAGAATTGATCTTCAGTAACCCATGCTTGTCCTAAGAGGTGAGTAACGGGATAGGGTGGTCCGGCTCGCTGACTTAGTTGACACATGTCATCGTATCCCAATTGGGTAGATCAATGCTCATGATGTTGATCATTGGATTGTCTGGTCCAGACGTGATTATTTACGGACTGGCGCCATATAGCTGGAATATTGCTGAGTGCAATGTTAAACAACCAACCAACCAATCAACTTCGACACAATAGTGTTTGACTGAATTCAATTTCAAGTCAGTTTTAAGGATTTGATGTACCATACCGTACCGTACCATAAGCATGTTAATTGAAGTTCCGTGGAAATATATATTTGTTTGTTCGAGTTTAATTGGTACCTTAAATATTGCCTTAGTATGTGCTTAAAAAGAGTTAGCGGTAAGTTTTTTCTGATTTTGCATCAGATTACTGCACTGCAAGAATTACCCTGGGGCAGATGCAGGTCTTGTATATCTTTCTAGTGATAATGCCTAGATCTACCTAGAGCTTTTAGAGATTCTGTGGAGCTGATTTTCCAGTGTTTGTCCACCCATCTAAGCTGCTTAACTCTGGGTTGGCCATGTATCTGGGCTCTGGGGATTGTGTACTTGATCTACTGACTTTACAGCTTCTCTGTGCAGCATTCTATGGGGCAGATCTCCCCTCTCTGGCTGTGGCCTTAGCAGTGGATTGTTTGGAGTATGTTCTCAAGGGTTTGTAGATTTTATGTGTAGTGGGAATTAAGTCTTTGTTATATCTTTTGTTGACTGGTTTTGACATATTTATTTTGTCCTCACTTAATGTGCGAGGCAGGTTATTTTTACTTAAGCTGGCTACAGTTCAGAATCACGCTAAGACCGGGTTCGAATCCCCACATGGGTACAATGTGTGAAGCCCATTTCTGGTGTCCCCCTGCGTTGATATTGCTGGAATATTGCTAAAAGCGGCGTAAAACCAAACTCAGTCAGTCAGTCTTATCTTCAGTCTACTTGTGTACGACAGAGGCAGTGGCAGTAGAGGATTCAGTGAGAAACTTGTCTGCAGCATTAAGAATGTGATATTAACACACACGGCTCAATTTAAGGGAAAAAAATACTTGCACCCAGTGCAACCCCTGATAATTACCTTGTTGCACCACACAGAATGTATTGCACATGCTGTTCCATATAGAGTAATATATAACTAAACACAGTGCTCTATTTAATGAAATGTAACCTACTTGCACCTGATGCAACCCCAGATAATATCCTTGTTGCACAATACAAAAACAGGTTGCACATGCAGTTCAATATATAGTAATATATAATGCTTTAGATTTGATATTCTTGATTCTGAACATCATGCTGGAATATTGCTAAAAGCAGTGTAAAACCATAATCAGTCACTCACTCACTCAGCAGTTGTGTGTAAAGTCATCGGAGTCACTGCTCCAAGCCAGTTCCTCATCAGCTGAAGTCTGTGTATTTTTCAACAGGAAAAGGTCTTTGTTAGCCAGACAGATTTTGAAACCATCCTCACATATTACATTTCTAATAGCTCTTGATGCTGAGTGGAGGCAAAATCTGTAGAACTTGTAGGAGTTAAATGTATGGTTGGCACTAGTGGTGGTCCGATTAATTGAAATAATCGAAGATTGGTCACAGTGACTAAATGACCAAGCAATCGATCATGTTTTCTCATAATCAAACACAAACAATTTTGGAACACTTGTTTACATTGACAATATTTTTCGCAAGGTTGGTTTAAGCACTACTAGCTCGTTCCAAATCATGATTGAATTTATCTTTAAGAGTCCAGGAAAGTTAAGTTCCTAACATAAGTCATCCTGTAAAGATGTGAAATTTGCAAATGCATTGTGTGCAGTTTGCAAAAAAACCCGAAAGAACTACATGTATTTTCTTTTTGTTTTGTGCATTAAGAAACACAATCAGGAAAATTCAATAAATGACGCTAACCAATTATTTTCGATGATTGATCGGTTGTATTGAACCAATCATCAATTATGAGATTTTAACCAATTCCCAACACTAGTTGGCACAGGTGCTTCCTTCTGTAGTTGTCTGCTTATGGCAGGGTCCATTGTAAATGAGGGGTGGTGGGGTAGCCAGGTGGTTAAAGCGTTGCTTCGTCACGCCGAAGACCCAGGTTCGATGACCCACTATATGGATACAATGTGTGCAGCCCATTTCTGGTGTCCTGCCGTGATATTGCTGGAATATTGCTAAAAGTGGCGTAAAACCATACTCACTCAATATTATAAATGGTATTGTGTTAGGCCAAAATCATAAAGGATGTACATTCTAAATTAAATTTTCACTCAGCAAATATAACAGAAATGAAATATTTGAGATAGAATAAGTTTTTAATGAAGCAAATTTATTAGAAATTCATGATATTGATCTGGTTGTTATGATAATTTAATGTTTCCCAACATCCGCCAGGTGAAGCCTTGAAGGGATCTCATCCTGAATCTGCTGATCTGTCAAAGATAAATTATTCACAGGTTGCAGTGATCTGGTGAAACTAGAATATGTGTGAATTTAATTTAACTCACTTTTCTATTGCAACTTTATTTATAACAACATTTCACTTTCAATTTCAATTTTCTTCAGGTGTAAGAAGATAGAATGCAAAGATGGACGATACACCTGGAGGGGGGGCCAAAGCGGGTCAACCATGCTGCTGTTGCCATCGGTGACAGCATCTTCTCCTTCGGGGGCTACTGCACTGGGGAGGACTATGACACGACCCGGCCGATGGATGTCTACATCCTGGATACTCGTAAGCATTTGGCATCATGGCAATGCTGTTACCATGGTTACAAATGACAAATATCTTCAATAATTTGTTAAGCAAATCTGTTATTAGTTCATTATGAATATACAAGAAGAAATATTAAATTATTCACCAATTTATCACGTTCACATTGAATACCTTTGAAATGGATATGGATATATTTCTTTTGTTTACATCAAGTGCATATATCTAGTGCATGTAGATCTAGTAATCGGTTTGTAATGTGATAGGGATGAAATTAGCTCTACCCTGTTAGTCTGGACCTGTATGTCTTAGTGTTCAAGGTATCCTAGGGGCCAGTAGATTTTCTTCATTTTAAGGAGGATTGCTAAATTTTCCAACTGTTACCAACCCCAAATAGATTTAGACCGTCTGTCAGAAAAATAGCCCGTCTCGGGCAGTCGGACGGGCCTTATTTTATACACTGCTGTAAGGACCCTTGAAATCAGGCCCGCCTCGGCAGTCAGACAGGCCTTATTTCATACACTGCTGTAAGGACCCTTGAAATTACGCCAGCCTCGGCAGTCGGATGGGCCTTATTTTATACACTGCTGTAAGGACCCTTGAAATCAGGCCCGCCTCGGCAGTCGGACGGGCCTTATTTCATACACTGCTGTAAGGGCCCTTGAAATTAGGCCCGCCTCGGCAGTTGGACGGGCCTTATTTCATACACTGCTGTAAGGACCCTTGAAATTAGCAATGTCAGTGTATAACCCTTGTATTCACTATTTGGATTAGAAGTCAATATGTTTTGGTAAAGTGTGTCCTGAAATAAAATGAAAACCAGGGGTGGAAATAGCCCATTGCCCGACGCCCGAGTCCAGTGTTTCTTCTGTCGGGCAAGCAAATTTGTATATCACACTGTACCGGTGTCCAGTTGATATTCCAATGTTAATTATGTTGTTTATTTAAAAATCAACAAGAAAATGGCCGGTATAGTGGAAAAATGATCAGGGCAAGTGATTTTACATGTGCCACTGTACCGGAGTACACTAGCAATTTTAAAGTTATTTCCACCCCTGAAAACCCCTATGACAAGTTGAGTACTGTAGGGTACATAGTCGCTGTACCCTTGTGAATGTTCCGTTTTGTGACAGATGTTGTTGATTGTTGCCAGTTTCGCTACGCTGGCGCCTTCTACCAGGTATTCCCATAAACCACCCTGACTATGACCTGGTTCCATATCAGCGGTACGGACATACAGCGGTTGCCGTTGGTGACTGTGCCTACATCTGGGGTGGCAGAAACGACAAGGATGGTGCTTGTAACATCTTGTACTGTTTTGACACGTGTAAGTTCAGTAACCTTTATTCAGGTGTGTAGGTTCTACTTGCTTCACATTCCCTGTGTGTTATGATGAATTTTCTTCAGAGCCTTGTGAAATTGGGTTTTGCTTGTTGTTTAACGCAGCACTCAACAATATTCCAGCTAAATCACAGCTGCCTGTAAACAACCGAATCTGGACCTGACAATCCAGTTATTAAGATCATGAGCCAGAGCTCCAGATAAGATTTAGCTCATGTGGGTACTGTACCCACTGTATTTTTTTGGAGTGGGTGTTGAGTGGGTATTTCATTTTCCGTTACCCACTGTTATCAAATATGTGCGTATTTCAGTCATTTTACTCACCTAAGTATTATGTCATTGAGTAAGTTTACTAAGCAGGTATGTTCTGCCTTATGTCATACCTAATCAAAACAAAGTTAAATATAATGGAAATGATTTCATAAGAAATCACTCATCCTATACTGACAGTACAACACTAGTCCTATACTATCAGTACAACTTGATAGCAATCGATGTCTTTTTTATTACGCAGCGATTTTTATAAATATATTCCGTACGCATTTGTTTTAAACTTTTTGCGTATCTAACATTTTAAATGCGTAATTGGTACGCAACAATTATTTTTCAATGCGTAAATGGAAATTTTCTATGCATATTTTACCCGGATACACAGCTTATCTGGGCCTCTGATGAGCATCGATTTACGCAAATGGGATGCGATGCCAAGTCAGTCACAATAGATCAATTCTAATGTGTTCCACCCGTGAAGATCCGGATTAGAATTGGTCTTCAGTAACCCATGCTTGTCGTAAGAGGCGACTAATGGGATCAGGTGGTCAGGCTCGCTGATTTGGTTGACACTTGTCATCGTATCCCAGTTGCATAGAATGATGCTCATGCTGTTGATCACTGGATTGTCTGTTCCGGACTCGATTATTTACAGCTGGAATTTTAAACAACAAACCAACCAATCCTTTGTTCCAATGGCATAACCATGAATAATGCCAGGTGTGTGACTGTATTGGGTGCAGTAAACACTGACATACATTATGACAGTTCATTTATATTCAGGGTGGGGATGATAGATGATAAAGTATTTAAATGCATAATTTAGGGTATAAAATTCCTTGTTTCAGCAATGATGAAGTGGAACAAGCCTGTGATTAACGGGCCGATACCGGGGGCGAGGGACGGACATTCTGCTTGTGTCATCAACAACAAGATGTACATCTTCGGAGGATACGAGGAGGAGGTACGGAAAGTTCACATGTACCAGTTACTAATAGATACATATCGTCGACACAGTTTTAGGTCTGCTCTGAAGTAAAACCTTTGTTTGTATAGCTGACTGATTGCCAGTCTCATGACATCAGAGTGCATTTATACTGACATATAGCCAGAAAAATAAGGTTCTATTATTTATAAATGTGTGAATAAATAAACCTAAATGGTGTCCAGGACGATCCTTACTTTCTGCAGCTGAGGCAATCTAGACTTGCCAAATCATTCCAGACTAGTATGACTCCTATTTAGTTTAATCTCTAGATTCTGAGAGACAGACTAGTGTGTGTTGTTAGTGAGAAAGGAATGTGAGCCCACCAGGATTAGTTGCGATGGATGATAACACTCCAGTATCGGTTTTCTATCTGTCTGTGACAGCAGCATTTCCTACTGATTTTGTAATGACGGACTGTTATCATGTTTCATCAATATCACTAACTGATCATATTCCTGACACCATATCATTTAAACTGGGAACATTGATGGTATTTATGGTATATCAGCTTTTCTGTGAATAGGTTAACACGTGCATCGTGTTTATAGGTATATATTAGTTTCAGTACGCTAGATAGCCATGAAATGAATCCATATCTGAGATAGCAAAGAAAAAGATTTGTTTAGTCATGTTAGGGGACATTGTGGTTAAAAGACTAAGTAACCTTGACATTTAGTCAAGCGATTAAGTCAGAATGTGTGCAAGTAAAACATTGTTAAGGATCGTGAACTATTTGGGGAATATATTTGGTAATGATGACTTGAAGATTGAGCACACAATTTCATAAAAATATCCCAAAAATATATAGTCCCTGACCTTCTTTTTAGGTAAAGATATACACTGCAGGCTGTGGAATGTTGGCAGTGTTTTCAAGCTTTCAAAGACATAACTTATCACCTTTTCTTTCAGATTGACAGATTCTCTAATGACGTACATGCCTTTGATTTTACATCAATGCAGTGGATCTCGGTCAAAGCCAATGTGAGTAGATCAAGGTCGAAAACCGAAAACATTTCATGTATGTTTTCATGAAATTTTCTGTCTGATCATGTTAATGAACTTGTTTATGTTATTGTTTATCAGCTGGTTACATGAAGTAGTTGTAACCGACATTGGGGTGGTAAGGTAGCCTAGTGGTTAAAGTATTTTCTTGTGATGCTGAAAACCCAGGTTCGATTCCCCACTTGGGTACAATGTGTGAAGTCCATTTTTTGGTGTCCATCGCTGTAATATTGCTAAAAGCGGCGTAAAACCTTACCCCGGCACCCTCGGTTCATTGTATTATAAGCTTCGTAATGCAACAAAACACTATACAGTCAAGTCTCGTTAATCCGACACTTGTGGTTGCAGAGAAATATGTCAGATTAACGAAACTGTCGGATTAATGAAAATGTCGGATTAATGTATTTGTGTGAATGCGAGAATGTCGGATTAACGAGAGTAATTATCACTGTTTTAAATGGTTCCCTAATTTTTTGTCGGATTAACGTGATTGTCGGATTAATGAGTGTCGGATTAACGAGAGCTGACTGTATTGTCATATTGTTACACCACTAATGTACACTCATAACTCAACACACATTGTCTTTGAGGAATTTTTCACCCTGACTCTCATTTCAGGTGCTACCTTGTGTGTCATTGTTATGTATAGAAGGATAAGTTCTTTGATTGCTACGATTGGTTGCAGGGTAGCCCGGCCCGCTGGCGTGACTTCCACACCGCCACAGCTGTAGGTAACACCATGTTTGTGTTCGGTGGTCGCAGTGACGATGGAGGAGATGTCTTCACAAACAATGAGATATATTGCAATAAGGTCCAGACGTTTGATACCTCCAGCAACACGTGGTACGAGCCCGTCGTGTCGGGGACAATACCTCAGGGTCGGAGAAGTCACTCAGCATGTAAGTTGATGCTCTGTGTTGTAGCAATGAGGGTATGAGTCCTAACTGTATAAGGTGGGGCAGGAGTTGCATTCCTTACACATCCCAGACACCCCTGAACATTGCTTTGAGTCAACAATATGCCCTTGTTGTTTTCCAGGTTTTCTCATGGGTTTCTCTAAACTATGGTCCGTTTGGCTCAAAAGCGGATTGATGAATTGAAAATTACTAAACATATATTACTCAATGAAACACTGATCATAATCAAAACATCTGACCAACTCTGAGGTTTTTGCAGAATTTATCTCCTTAAAATGAAAAAGTTGTTTAACAAACTATCATTAAAATTTTGACACAGTTCACTATTTGTTACGAGGGAGGAGTGCAAAGAGAGGAAGAGCCAGGTGTACGCGAAGCACGTGCACAAGTGCCGACAAAGTTATTATTTTTCATTAAACCTGTGCTGTGCCGTCTTCTTCCTTTCTCACACCTGCCGGTTCCTCTTTTGGATTGCTGCCTGCCTCAAAAACAACATTCACTCACTAAATCCATGTTTCCTCGCGAAATGTCCAATGTACCATGATTATCTAAGCTTTAAAACAATGAAGATCTGGAAGTGAGGTGAGGTGAGGTGAAATTGGGTTTAACATCGTGCTTGAGAATATTTCACTCATGCATGAATGCGTGTGTATGTGTATGTGTATGTGGGGCTGCTTGTACTAGCCCAGACTTAAGCTGGTTTTTTATAGTGCTAGCCCACTGAGATACCATGCCGCAGTGAAGCATGAATACCCCACTCAGACACATTATACTGACTCCGAGCCAACCAGTCCTTGTTGTACCCATTAATGCCGAATGCCAGGCAGGGACCAACAAGTACTAATCTTAACGTCTTTTGGTATGACACATATCTGGAAGTGTAATCTGACACATGTAATCTGAATCATTGATAATCTGGACTGATGTGTGAAATGATACATGTAACTGCTCTGAAAGAAACAACCAAACACTTAGCAAAGTCATATGTATTGGGTACAATGAATAATATTGTGGGTCCCTGACACAGTGAATGTTTTTCTGCGTCCATTCTCTACATTTGTGCGTACTGGACCCACATTTGTGCCCAACTACCCTCAGCATCACATTCAGTCCTGCAACCCATGCCTGTTTTAGTTGAGGAGGGATGCTCATGCACTATGTGTTGTAACCCAGTTTTCAATTCGGGAGTAATTATATCGCTCTGACAGCTGCAATACCCCTATACTAGCCTGTGTGACCATGTCATTATATGCCTAAGATATTCCTGTTTTAAGTTCCAAAGTGTGAGCGATATGGCTGAAATATTGCCGATGTGACGTTAAATAATAACTCACTCACTCCAAAGTGTGAGATGGAAACCCTGACATAGTTGTGATTTTAGTGCACTTTCCTTCATTTGTTTAATCAAGGTTTTGTCCTGAAGATTTGACTTTTTATATGTATATTTATTGCAGTTTACTATGAAGACCACTTGTATATATTTGGCGGCTACAACGGTATTCATGAGAATCACTTCAATGACATGTACAAACTCGAACCAGGTAATTCTTTTATGTTTAACAACGTCAAATTTATGCACTTTCACTTTCATTAGCACCAGCACCATCACAATTGTAGCTACCACATATTCGTTATTACCACAAATATATAAAAGTATTACCCTTTTATGTTTACGAGCCGATTGGGGTAGCCTAATGGTTAAAGCTTTGGCACCAAGACCCGGTTCGATCCCCATGGGTACAATATTGTGAAGCCCATTTCTGGTGTTCCCCGCCGTGATGTTGCTGGAATATTGCTAAAAGCGGCGTAAAACCAAACTCAGTCAGTCAGTCAGTGCTATGTTTACCTAGTTGAATATTTTAATAAGATTATAATTTTGACCTCAGCATATATAATTTTAGTCTTAAAGGAAAGCTAACTAAGATATACATATGCAGTTTAACCTTGTTTGTCATTTGTTTGTGAACAGGAAAAATGAAGTGGTCTAAAGTGAAGGTGAAAGGTCAGGGGCCGTGCCCAAGGCGACGCCAGTGCTGTTGCCGGATTGGGTCATGTGTGTACCTGTTTGGAGGAACCAGGTATGTGTTCACGTACATGGCATGATTGATGTCAGGGGATATATGGGTGGCTTTGACTGTCCATCCATCCTTCACACTTTATTTCTGTGCAAAATTCAAAGTCTGTTCAGACATATCAGCCAAGCTGAAGGTTAAGTTATTGTTATTAAATGACAAAAGTCTAATGTCTGTTAGACACGGTGGGATAGCCTTATGGTTAAAGCGTCTGCTCATCACGCTGAAGACACGGGTTCGATCCCCGCTTGGGCACAATGTGTGAAGCCTATTTCTGGTGTCCCCCATCATGATATTGCAGGAATAATGCTAAAAGCGGCATAAAATCATACTCACTCACTCACTCACTCTCTCTCTCACTGATGATGTGATATGCCTGGATGATGTGATAAGTATGAGGTGTAGAATTAGAAATGTTTACTTACAGTATTTTCGTGATTTGATGTTAGGGTTTGTCATCTCTGACCATGTTGATACTTGTAATGGAAACAAGATACACCTGAGATCTTCGTGATTCCATGTACAGGCAGTATGTTTCTACTTCTTTCACAGTCCTAAGAATCCTCAGATGACCACAACACACATCCCACTGGCAGAGACTGATCTGACCGATCACTCAGACCTCTACGTGCTTGACTTCTGTAAGTACCTAGTTTTGTACCCATTTTGTTTTGGGGACGTGTGTATGTGTTGGGGAAGCGAGAAAGAGCAATTATTGTACACATGTACAAGGGGGTCATCAATTTTTACATGTATGTAAATATTAAAAAATAATGCTTAAAAATTATAGCCATAAATTATATATGGTCCCTAATTAGGTTTTATATGTGTTTCTATAGTGCCTTAAAACAGGTATTTGGGACTTGAAAATCCATAAAATGGCCTTAAATGTGATGGCTGATAATCTGTGTGAACCCTCATCTACCTTGCTTGTCCATGTTGGATGACTTCTGTAACAATTCCAGTTCTTCATTTCAGCTCCGTCCCTGAAAGTTCTCTGTGAGCTAGCTGTGCTAGAATATAAGCAAGATACATCCTTCTTGCCTATGAATATAAGGTAGGTGGAGAATGTTTTATGATAGTTTTTATCTGAGGTTTGTTTTCATTCTTATATGGCTGAAAATCACCATTTGAGGTGAGGTGAAATTGGGTTTAACGTCGTGCTGGAAGATTTTTCGCTCATATGATGATATGTGTAGGTGCGGCTGGTTGTACTAGCCCAGACTTAAGCTGTTTTTTCTATAGTGCTAGCCCACGGAGATACCATGCCGCAGTGAAGCATGAATACCCCACTCAGACACATTATACTGACTCTGAGCCGACCAGTCCTTGTTGTACCCATTAATGCCGAACGCCAGGCAGGGACCAACAAGTACCATATTTTAACGTCTTTTGGTATGACGCAGTCGGGGATCGAACCCGCAACCTTCCGCTCTCTGGGCGGACGCTCTAACCACTACACCACGGAGGCGGTCGAAATTCACCATTTAATGTTAATGTTAACTCACACACAATGTTTGCTCATCAAAACAAGATGGTGACATGAAGAATTTCAGGGTTGGTGGATCTGACCATAGTGAAATTAGGTCGAGGACCTCTGAGTGTTGGACTTCTAGATAAATGCTCATGCTGTTGATCACTGTATTGTCAGGTCCAGACTTGAATATTTACAGACCGCCGCCATATATCTGGAATATTGCTGAGTGCGGCATTAAACAACAAGCAAACAAACCAATTGTTCCTAGGACCTTGACCATATTATTTCATGGTTCAGTTCAATATTTGCCTCAGGTTAAAATTGAATTGTTTTAATATTTCAGATGGGAACTTGCTGCCATGACAACTAACAACAACATCAGCAGGTCCAGCAACACTACGGGGTGAACATCTTTGACTTGATCATGGACAAGAATAGATGTAATGGACAGCATCACATCTTGTCAAATGGAAAAAACCCGATTACAGTGTACTTTGTCAACAGACATCTTAAGTTGAAGTTACAACATGGACCCTCACCCGAGCTGATCAGTGCCCTTATCAAGTTGTTGCTATGGTTACCCTGCTGGAATACAGAGAAACATTTTCTTCATGAGACAGTGGATCAGTATTTCCATTTTCTCAGTGTTGTGAAACTATCACAAAACAATGAGTAACATTTTCACACATAGCTATGCCAGAGCACAATGCATTGAATATTTTGCCCATGGACACTTTGCCTTGGAAATGGTGGAACATTTCCTCAAAGGCTTCTGTTGGAGAGACTTTGCTGTTCTTATCATATTACAGATGTATCATTTTGTTACTGGTTTATGATTACAGGGTTATTTTGGCAATAACAGACTAGGCGTAACATAGTCATAACAAGTCTTATGCGATGTCCAAGTGTGTTTTGTGTTTCTGTTTTAATAAGAGGCATTTGGGTAGCCTAGTGGTTAAAGCGTTCGCTCGTCACGCCGAAGACCCAGGTTTGATTCCCCACATGGGTACATTGTGTGAAGCCCATTTCTGGTGTCCCTGCCGTGATATTGCTGGAATATTGCTAAAAGCGGCGTAAAACCAAAATCACTCTGTTTTAGAAAAAAAGGGTGGGGTGGATATGAGAAGCTGTTATGAGATATTTATCCTGTAATAGATATCTCATATCTCATTAATTGTCATTTTATGAGCCCATCACTCCCATCGTGAAGGAGCTTCACTAGCTTCCTATACAGCAACAGATCTGTTACGAAGTCCTCTACTTTGCCTATAAATACCATTCACAAACTGCTCCACCATATTTGTCAGACCTCTATCCTGATATTCCATCCAGATCTCTTCGTTCAAACTCACAGCTTCTGTTTTTTGTACCAAAAGTTAAACCAGTCAGCTATAGATGCTACGCAGCACCTCCTCTGCTTTGCCTATAAATACCATTCACAAATCGCTCCACAAATCACCCTGGCTGAACTTTGAGCGTGATATTCAACATGGTGAAGCCACAAATCAAACTGACTGTCATATGTTTTATGAGGACATACATAATAATGACATGTTCGACATATACGACACCACGCAGTTACCATATGTGTGAATGACAGGTGCGCAGATGTAACTGCCTTTCATACAAGATTCTTGCTTATATTATTTTTGTGCTGGCACAAATCAGATATCTTAAACTATTTGTATCTGTTTGTAGGATGAAGAGTTTTCTAAACTCCCATACATTAATGGTAAGACATTGTTCCTCAACAATTCTCTATACTAGACATGTTAATATAAGAAACCTATGCAAATATTTGCTGAATAGTTGTTGTATCAGGTATTTATTTCAGCAAGGAAATTTTTGATATTTGTTTTCCTGAGTTAGTGACAGACATGATTAATGCTGTATCATCAGATTTTTCATTTATGGCAATTTTGATGAACGAAAGAAATTATTCAATAAGAATTCAAACAGTGCCCATGATATGTGTAAATATCTTCAAAGGAATTTATATTGTGTAGTGTAAATATGTATGTATTCTCTTTCGACAGCTTGTGTCAGTTGCTGATTCTTACAAGTGATTGAATGATTTGTGTTCTTAACTGGATTAGGGGCAGTAGGGTAGTCAAGTGGTTGAAGCATTTGCCTGTCATGCCAAAGGTCCTGGTTTGCTTCCCAACTCTACTGAAGACCTATGTAGCTGAAAGCATCATAAAACCATCCCGGCTCATTTACTTCACTGGACCCGTGAAGATCCGGGATAGAATTGATCTTCAGTAACCCATGCTTGTCGTGAAGAGGCTTACTAACGAGATCGGTGGTCAGGCTCGCTGACTTGGTTGACACATGTCATCATGTATCCCAATTCGTAGATTGATGCTCATGCTGTTGATCACTGGATTGTCTGGTCCAGACTTCGATATTTACAGACCGCTGCCATATAGCTGGAATATTGCTGAGTGTGGCGTGAAACTGAACTTACTCACTCACTCATTTACTTCAATGGATTTACACACAGGACAGCCTGAAGTTCAAAATGTTGCCAGTTTTATTAGTTTGGCCAGCTTGTCAGTAGGCTCAAGATGATATTTACACTAAAACAAATTAAATAAAAGAGACAACACCAGCCTATACATTATTTATAGGGGTGGGTATTGCAGAGAATTTTCATATTGCGATATATTGATGCAAAAGCATATATTAAGCATATGTATTGCAATATTGCAAGCAGTATTTTTAAGCAAAAAAATACTTATAATCGCGTTAAAGCTTGATTTATAGAGCAAAAACACAACAAAATAACTATGCTTGATTAAGCTTTAACAACAACCTTTAATCATGACAAAATAGAAATGTAAATAATATTTGGCACAAATGAAACAAGGAAATATCCGAAGATTTCCGAGTGTTACAAAGTTTTCCGAGTGCAAGTCAAAATACCGGTTTTTTATCAAAATGCGTATCGCAAAATGTATCATTTTCATGTCTGAACCGGTAAATACTGGTACACCGGTTATATTGCGCAGCCCTAATTATTAAACTGCTGTTATTAAGTTCTGGTCGCGGTGGGGTAGTCTAGTAGTTGAAGTGTTCACTCATCACGCCGAAGACCCGGGTTCAATTCCCCACATGGGTGCAATATGTGAAGTCCTTTTGTGGTGTTCCCCGCCATGATATTGCTGGAATATTGCTAAAAGCAGCGTAAAACAAAACTCACTCACTAAATGTTGAGTGTAATTCCTACCAGAATAGAATATCACTTTTGTCATGCAATCTTTAAATTTGATCTGTTTCAGTGATTCAAACAGAGATACGTTTTATGTTCCCCATTACTTGCAATGTAAATTGTTTCAGTCCATTGGAAATGTGCATATCTGTCGGGGGCATTTATTTGCAAAACCACAATGTGTTGATATGATATAAATCATTCATTCTTTCTTTGAATGACGTTGGCTCTTCACGGCAAAGACCTGGGTTCGAATCCCCACATGGGCACAATGTGTGAAGCCCATTTCTGGTGTCCCCCGCCGTGATGTTGCTGGAATATTGCTAAAAGTGGCGTAAAACCAAACTCAGTCAGTCAGTCAGTCTTTGAATGACATTTTAGAAGTTGGGAAATACAATATAGACTTTACGGATAAGAACTTTTTTTATTTCATGAGTACAACGTTTTGGTACCGATTCTTGTACCGTTGCTTGAGAATCAGTACCAAAACATGGCCCTTCACACAACTAAAAGAAGTTGTTATCCATAGAGGTTGTCCATATCATTCATTTCGTTTCTTGCGCTGAAGTTTTCTGCCTGATGTTTTCATTATACTGGCTATGATTTGTTTGATGATACATTGCTGTTGGGGAATTTCTTTTGGAATAGTAAATATGATACATTTGGAGTCAACTTCATATTTAGTGTGCTTTTCTTTCTTTGCTAAATTGTTTTGCAATATATATCTCCAAATTTGCCCATTTTTGAAAATGTCTCAGCTATGCCCCACTTAAACATTGATTTTTCAATGTCTTAGAGTATTGTTTTGATAATGGTAACACCTATCTGAATCATTTTTTTAATATTCACCCATGGTTAATTCTGTATCAATTTCTAAAGGACAAGAACGGAAGCTGTTTTATTTGTAAACACGGAAAGTCCCAGGTTTGATTCCCCACATGGGTACAATGTGTGAAGCCCATTTCTGGTGTCCCCCAGCGTGATATTGCTGGAATATTGCTAAAATCGGCATAAAACCATACTGATTTTCTGACCCCAACAATCATGTTTGCATCCTCTTCCATATATGATTAGAGTGTTATGTTATGCAGCTAATTTGGTTATAAAGTATTATCTTGGCTCATCTTACGCTTACCAGAATTAGGTTTGATTCACTATCTTTAGTTTGATTGAGCATGGACTGGTCCATCCACCTATACAATGGTGGGGTATCCTAGTGGTTAAAGCCCATTTCTCACGCCAAAGACCCGGGTCCCCCAGCCCATTTCTGTGTCCCCATATATTGCTGGAATATTGCTAAAAGCGGTAAAATCCATACTCACTCACTATTACCAAATGACTGTCTGTGTTGCCACATGTTTCAGTCCTATACAATGTATATAAATCATGTAGATTTTACACTGTAAATTCACTTGACACAACAGCAGTTAACTGCATAGCGGATTATGGTTAAATGATTTTAATTGGATTTGTATGTCACTAATTTTTTAGCCGAAGTTTGCTAGAGTGGATGATTGTGCATTTCACCTGAAGTAAGATTAATATCTGAAAGTGAGTGAGAGAGAGTGAAAGAAATTGACCTGTTAGTCAATAACTGGTTGTATTTGTCGCCAGTCATGTTGTGTTAAGGAAGGACAATGACTAAAATTGTTATGAATTGTTTTGTGATCCTTACAGATATGATTAGTATCACAGTAAATATATTTCATTAAGAAGATCTCTTTTCTTTCTTTCTATATATATCTGTCTTTCTATATATATCATATTCAGCATTTGTTTATGGATTAACCATCTCATCAGACCTATCAAGTTCACATTATGATTGGTTGGGTGGTTTAATCCATATCTTGAATATATATATCATATTCAGCATTTGTTTCAGACCACCCACATTATCAGGTGGTTTGTTGTTGAACACCACACTCAGCAATATTCCAGCTATATGGTGGTGATCTGTAAATAATCCAGTCTGGACCAGACAATCCAGTGACCAACAACATGAGCATGGATATACACAACTGGGATACAATGACGTGTCAACCAAGTCGGTGAACCTGACCACCCGATCCTGTTAGTCGCCTCTTACGACAAGCATGGTTACTGAAGATCAATATTCTAACCTGGATCTTCATGGGTAGCAACATTATGAATCTTGAGGACTTTCATTTGCTACACCTATTTGCGGGACTGTCAACCATCATCAGCGATACTGCGGGCTGACATGAAGTAACTACCTAGTGCTCTCACTATGGACCATCATTGAAGCTACAGTCAAACTACAAATGGTTGATAGTGTAAACAACATTGGAGTAAAACTACAAGTGGTTGATAGTGTAAACAACATTGAAGTAAAACTACAAATGGTTGATAGTGTAAACAACATTGGAGTAAAACTACAAGTGGTTGATAGTGTAAACAACATTGAAGTAAAACTACAAGTGGTTGATAGTGTAAACAACACTGAAGTAAAACTACAAGTGGTTGATAGTGTAAACAACATTGGAGTAAAACTACAAGTGGTTGATAGTGTAAACAACACTGAAGTAAAACTACAAGTGGTTGATAGTGTAAACAACATTGAAGTAAAACTACAAATGGTTGATAGTGTAAAACAACATTGAAGTAAAACTACAAGTGGTTGATAGTGTAAACAACATTGGGTAAAACTACAAATGGTTGATAGTGTAAACAACACTGAAGTAAAACTACAAGTGGTTGATAGTGTAAACAACATTGGAGTAAAACTACAAGTGGTTGATAGTGTAAACAACACTGAAGTAAAACTACAAGTGGTTGATAGTGTAAACAACATTGGAGTAAAACTACAAGTGGTTGATAGTGTAAACAACATTGGAGTAAAACTACAAGTGGTTGATAGTGTAAACAACACTGAAGTAAAACTACAAATAGTTGATAGTGTAAACAACATTGAAGCTGCAGTATAGCAACAAATGGCTGATAGTGTAAACAACATTGAAGTTATAGTAAAACTACTAATGGTTGGTAGTGCGAGCGTACATATAGCTATATAATGTATAATCGTGGACCCAATTTCACCTCACTTTTAGTGTTTTCATGAACTAATGATATATTAACAATTTAATGGCCTATCAGCTATTAACCTACCAGAATTTAGTGAAGAT